TTACCTAGGACAGTCAGAAAGTTCATTTATTCACTCCCATGCATGAGGTCCTAGATTTAGCTACAAGAATTTACAGGACCTGGACAGAAGTACAGATGTGGATTAAGTAGGCATTTTCATGTTATCATCTCATGGCTGGCACCTGGGCCCTATGTTTCTTTTCATGATGGGCAACGTTATCTCAGGAAAATTCCTTCCTGAGTTCTCCTGATCATCATAGCTTACAAAGTATATATCCTAGGTGCGGGTCACAACATTTACTGCCTTTTGATATATAGCCACACCAGGATAATTGGACTGGGAATAAGTGGAAGGGTCATTGGCATTTACCAAACCAGATATTAGGTAACACTATCACAAGTTTACATATCTGACACATTTGATCTACATTTTTCTTGGATCTACATTTTTCAGGTACCTCATTAAACCATTTGGTGAACTTTCCATTTTCTTAGTTTTACATCTCGATTAACAGTCAGACATAGTAAGTGGGAAACATCACAGAGCTTCAAGGCATTACAGAGTAATGTATATCTCAGAGTAGTGAAAACATCACAGAGCAATAAAAGGCACTGCCAGGTTACATTTCAAGGTATCTACCTAGTAAGTGAAACAAAAGGAAGATTTAGATGGCCTAAACGTACAAGGACATTATATAAGAATATAATTAATCAAAAGAATATAGCTTTTCCTTATCAGCACTCTCTAGGCTCCCTTGGACCCCGCAGCTGTCGTGGCCTCTGTGTGCCTGGGTGACCAAACCAAAGAAAATACTTCCGTAGGTAGCCCTGTGTGAGCAAAGCATCCTGGAGCTCTCCCCTCAAAGCAGAGACCTTCTTATGAGTTGACAGTTTTTACAATCTGGAGTTTTGCCAATTACTGGAATGCTCTCAAGGTATCTATCTGAATGTACCAGTGCAAAGTGGTTTATCTTTAATGAAGCTAGCCTCTTTAATAATGAAGTCCCTTTGTTCTCAACAAAGAAACAACAACCATAGGAGATAGTCAAAGATAACTCTATCTCTTTTAGGAAATTTCTCCCTATCTTTTGAAAAGAAAACCTCAAGACTGGAGGGTGAGGAGTTCTTAAGCCACAGGCTTGCTTGAGCTGCTTTCATTCAGGGGAGTATATCCTATGCTTTCACTGTCTCTTAAAATTGTATTTTATTTTATGATATGTGTATGTGTCTGTGTGATTGTATGTCATACATGTGCAGGTGCTTGTGGAGACCAGAAGAGGGCATGAGATCCCCTGGAACTGGAATTACAGGCAGTTATGAACTGCCAGATGTGGGCACTTGTAATCAAACTTGGGTCCTCTAGACGAGCAGCAAGCACTTTTAACCACTGAGCCTGCATGTAGGTAGGTGTATATCTGTGTTGTGCAGTTCCTTCAGAGGTCAGAAGAGCTTGTCAGATCCCCTGGAACTGGAGTTACAGATGGTTGTTTGCCACCATATGGGTCCTGTGAGGTGTGCTTGCTTAATCCCAATAAATGACACAAAGCATCCTTTTGCAAAAATAAAGGCTGTCTTGCCAAGTTACTTTTGCTTTGTCCCTGTATATACATATATATACATATATATGTGTATATATATATATATATAGTGTGTGTGTGTGTGTATGTGGGGGGGTATCAGTAGGGTCCTTGGACTTCATATTTATTTCTAACAGTGCCTAAGTTCTTCACAGCTAATAAAGCAAAATGAAATTATAAAATTTTCAGGAAGATAGATGGATCTAGAAATTACTATATTAACTGAGGTAACTCAGACTCTGAAAGATTAAATGCTTTTTTTCTCTCTTATATGAAGACCTTAGCTCTTAATTGGGCTCTCTCTGTGTGTGTGTGTGTGTGTGTGTGTGTGTGTGTACCATGAAACTAGAAAGGGGACCAAGAGAGAGGAATAAAGTTTCCAGGAAGGTGGGGAGAGTAATAGAACACATGAGACGTGAAAGTGGAAAGGGAACGACTAGACATGGAGGAATACAGGGGGCTAGAGGGATAGGGGAGATGAGGGAAGAGGGATGAGGGTCAGTAAAACAGACTGTGTATGAAAATGCCATATGAAATCTATCACTGTGTACACTGATTAAAAAGAAATGATCAAACAACTAAAACAGATCTTCATACTAGCAACAGGGAAGAGACAGGCAGACAGCTGTAGCCATCCGTTCCCCACAACTGCCCAGGCTGCATGTTGCCCATCCCATCCCATGTATGCCTGGAGCTGCTTTCACTTTCTTTTCTGTGAAAATGTAAACAAGAAAGGTTCTGTTCTGCAGTCTCCAGTGAAGCCAACTCCCAGAGTAGAAGAGGGATTTAAGAAACTTTATTCACAAGCTGGCAAGTTGGAAGATGAGTACACTTGTCCTTAAAAGCTGTCATCTATTATCATTGAAATCTACCTGATGACTTTATATCCATACTCAGGTACCAAGGATCTGAGTGTAACTGACTGTGACTAGTAATAATCAGATACATAGAGATTAGAGATGCATGTGCAAACATCTAAGTGTTAGTAGCATTAAAGAAACAGTATATTTTAAAGAGAAATTGAAATCTTTTTAAGAGGTTAAAATCTCAATTTTATGTCTTATAGGGTTTATATTGAGTACAATATTTTATAACTGTATTAATTCAACTGTGAAACTAAAACTTCAGCCACTTTTGAAAGAGATGTATCTTTGCTCTGGAAATTGCTATTGAATAAGTTAAAGCCGTAATGAAATGCTTCTAATCATGTGGTTATTAAATAATTTTTTTTTTTAAAAAAAGCTGTCTTCTTTAGAGGTTGCAGGTACAAGTCTTCTAGAGAAATTTGGTGGGGCTTGGTCCCCTGGTGCTGAGGTTGCAGGTGGTTGTGGGGAACTGTACTTGGTTCCTTTGGAAGAGCCACAAGAGACTGCTGAGCCATCTCTCCAAACCCCATAACCAGGTGATTCTGACACAAGATCAAATTTACAAAGCACTGCTTAGAGCATCAGGGAGTCACCACAGGCATGTCCTCAGAAAAGAAATGACATCAGAGCTGTTTTCTCAAAAAGTAGTGAGGTATCCAAATAAAATCCCATTGTGCATATGAAGCCCATTTTCTCTCTCCATTTATCTGATGATGGGCACGTAGGTTAATCCATGGCTTGGCTATGGAGATTAGTGTTGCAGTGAACGTGACAGGGAACTGGAGATCATCATATTAAGTAAAATATGCCAAACTCAGAAAGACAAATACTGCACTTCAGGAAGAGAAATGGGGACCAGAGAAGGCCAACGGGGAGTGAGTATGACCAAAGTGTATTGTGTGCATCTATGGAAATGGTATAATGAAACCCACTTTGTTTTTGAGACAGGGTCTCCCTGAAACCCCAGCTGGCCTGGGACTCACTATGTAGACTAGGCTGGACTTGAACTCATAGAGATCCACCTGCCTTTGCCTGGATTAAAGGCATGCACCACCACGCCCAGATGAAACCCACTTTTTAAGATCTTATTTTTATTTTCAATTATATGTATATGCATGTGTCTGTGTGAGTATGCATGTATTTCTGTGTGTGTGCCCACAGAAGCCAGAAGAGAATGTGGGATTCCCTGGAGCTGTAGTTACAGGTGGTTCTGAGGAGCCCCACATTCATGTTGGGAACCAAACTTTGGTCCTCTGGAAGAACAATACATACTTTTCACTGCTGAACCATCTCTCCAGCTCTGAAACACAATAATATAAATATATATAATATGTATATATTATATGTATTATATTAAAGGTAGTGAGTGGAAGGGGGATGGGGACTCTCCCTGACAGTATTTCAGTAGTCCTGGTGGGAGAACTGAGTATGCTAAATAGTCAGACTTGAAATATGAAAAGAGAGGCAGGACCAGTGACAGTGGGTAGAAGGGATAAAGGGGAGGTAAAAGCCAAGGGTGCCACTAGCACTACATTTTAATAATGTGCACATGTGTTCTATAGCAGCTTGTGTTTTCCCAGGAAATAGGTCAGAGTTCTTTCTTCTAGAAAATGAGGCATCTAAACAGGACGACTTCTGGGGTCTTCTCCAGCTTAGAGGCCAAGTGAACATAGCTGCTGGGTGGCCTGCTATGTGACACTGCAAACAGGTAACCTGTAGCAGTGTGCTGCCTCCTACCTTGTGAAATGTCTCTTCTTGTTTATTGTTGTATTCTCTGCCCTGGGCTTGCACCCCTCAAACAGCAAGTACCTTAATTTTGGCCTCGGTCTCCGTGTTTTAGAGGCTTCAGGACCCAATCAATAAAAAAGAAAATAATACCTAACTCCCTTGTGGAAATCAAAGCAGCAACAGCACTAAACTCATCAGATAAGAATAAGAAAGTTCAATAATGGTTTGATTTTTTTCCTAATGACTATCTTGATGCTATTTTTAAGGAAATAATAAGTATCTTAATTTTTTTTCTTAATTTTTGTTTTCCATCTGTTTATCTGTTTGAGAGGAGAGTGACCCCAATCTGCTGGTGCTCAGTGAACAAGGAGGGGGCAATAATTTGATAAGGGATTAAATATGCTTTCTCTAATGGACAAAAGATGAAACCTGTAGCCTACTTTTTCTTTTAACATTTATTTATTGGGTGGGGGCACCACAGTGTGTGGCAGTCAGAGGACAACTTGCAAGAGTCTGTTCTCTCTTTCCACCATGTGGGTCCCTAGGATAGAACTTAAGTCATCAAGCTTGGTGGTAAACACCTTTCACTTACTGAGCCTTTTCCATGGCCCTGTACCCTATTTTGTCTTTATAGCAACCTATGTGTTAGACAGGGGGAAAAGTGAGAAATATGATCTTTGCAGCTAAAAGTGAAGTCAATAATAAAGGTGTACTGTGATAATATGTAGCAAACAGCTATACACAAAATCAACCCAAGACATTCACACATACAACTGCACACACACTGTGTGTGAGTGTGTGTGTCAGAGGAAACACACAGAAAATCGACCTAAGGAAAAAAATGACAAAAAAAGAGAGAAACAACACACTCTGTTCTAAATAAAGATCAAACTTTATTTAAGGCAGATGATAACACCTTCCAAAGAGCAAAATCAATAATCCAAGTGCCCGCTAGCCAGTCACACCACTGAACTTGCCCAGGCACACATGATGGGATATAAGATTCAGAACTTAACAGAAACCAAATGTTTGCTTCTTTGGAGCAAAATTTGCTACACGATTAGGAGACAGAAAATAATCAATTGATCATAACAATCAAAACTTAATGAAACCTCAAAAGTAAAAGGCATAAACTGGATGTAGAAGCCACGCAAGGTGGTGGACACCTGCACTCTTAGCACTTACTCCAAGTTCAAGATGAGTCTGGGATACAGAGCAAGACCTTGTCTCAGAAACAAGACAAAAACAAAAAATTGGGTTTTAAAAATTCGGTGTTGTGTGTACCTGTAATTCCAGCTACTTAGGAGGCTGAGGGAGGAGAATCTCAAGTTCAAGTCCAGCCTGAGTAACATAGTGAGACTATCTAAAGCAAGCAAGAAAGCAAACAAACCTAAGAGTATGCACCATTTTTAAGAAAAGATGTCATTTAGTTTATGTGTCCTTAGCACTCTGGACAAAGGAAAGATCCTGTGTTTTCACACTATTCAAATAGGACTTTCTTACCTGAATTTGCTTTGAGCACTGTGAAGGAATCCATTTCTGAAAGAAGCCCAGAACAGAGGGACTCCTCAGCCTGATCCATGGAAAAGCACCCCTGTACCATAGCAGGCAGTGCAGCCCAGGGGTGCAGAAGCCCTGGAACCACACTACCTGGTCCAAGAGCCAGCACTTCAAGCCTGTGTAGTGGTATTCCCAGCACCTGTATCCCATCCTGGAGACAGGAGTGAGGCTGGAGGGTCAGAGCTCAAGGCCAGCCTTGGCTACATAGTGAGAGGCCAGTCTGGGCTAATGGCATCCTGTCTTGAAAAATCAAAATCTTAACTGAAGCAAAAAGCAGCATTTTCCCCTTACTAACTATGCAACCTTTAGTGTTGACTAATCCTCTCTATGCATCAGATTCTTTTTTTATATAAATCTTTATTTTTATTTTATGTATATGAGTGCTTTGCCTGTGTGTATGTAAGTGCACCTATGCTGTGCAGTGCCCACAGAGGCCAGAAGAGGGGATCAGATTCCTAGGAACTGGAGTTACAGATTGTTGTTAGCCAACCATGTGTATGCTAGGAATTGAACCCAGGTCCTTCCTGAAGAACAGCAAGTGCTCTTAATTGCTGAGTCAATTCTCTAGGCCCTATGCATCAGATTTTTGATCAAAGGATGAGGCTAGTTGTGTTATTCCCACTAATGTAAAGCTTTTATAAAGAGGACAAAGTAAATACTCAATAAATAGTAGCTAGTATTGTCTGGTCAAACAGTTCTTATGTGCATGAATATCATGCACCATTTTAAAGTAACACAGATAACAGATGATTTGTACTTGTGACTCTCTTCTGATTTGGAGAACTACTTAAAAGTAAAATTTGACATGTCATGTAACCTTTACAATAGGTTTGATTCTCTCCTTTTTTGCAGTCCAGAGAAGGGATTAGAAAGTTTTTAAGTGAGAAAACATGAATTGGTAGGAATTAGCAAAGGGAGTTTTAGAAACCTATTATATTAGAGCTATAGTTATTATAAAATGTTAAATTAAAGCAAGGTTATGTATCTGTTTACATTGGAAACAGAGCTTACTCAGAAGTGCAACATAACCAGTAGGAAAAGATATCAAAAATCATATTGCATTTCTGTGTACCCCACAGAGCAAGTTCCAAGGTTCAGGGAAGAGCCCAAGTCACAGGCTCAGAGTTTAACCAAGAAACACTCCAGGATAAGAAACTCAGTCTTCAAATGAGTGCCAAGGTCTCCAGAAAGGCTTCCCATCCCTTCTGTCAGAGATTAAGAGAATATAGATTCCTCTGTTGAGTTTCTAGCAACTTGAGTCAGGTAACAAACACATGCTAAGCACCAACTGTTTACTAGGCACTGTGTGGTGAGAAATAAAGCCATTGTTCTATTTATCATCAAAGATTGCCTATTGTCCTGGACACTTTTCTTGGGGGAAGGGAAGCCCATTTTAATTACTTATTTACACAAGGGTTTCACTTTCACAGGCAGAGATTAAAAGGCAAGCCAACAACCAAAATACAACTCCAGTAATGGAAAAGGATCACAGGACTTGGGGTGGAACTCATTGGCCCTGGGTTTAATTGCCAGCACCAAAAACAAATCAAAACAAAAAACAGATGAGGGGGATAAAGGGTTCAATTAGTTACTAATGGTTCAACTGAGAGATAAAAGGTAGTTTCAAGCCCACCTCACACCCAAACCATAGCACAAGAATGAGATCAGATTTCTTGAGCAAAATTATACAGCCCATTATCTTTTTTTCCCCCTGCTTTTCTTTGGGTATGTGCATGTATGTGCACATGGAGGCCAAAGGTTGACACTGGGCATCTTCCTCTGTTGCTCTCTACCTTATTTTTTTTCAGACAGGGTCTCTCTGAACCTGGAGCTCACTGTCCTGGCTAGGTTAGACCAGCAGTGAGTTCCAGGGATCCTCCTGTCTCCACTCACGAGGATTTCAGGTATATGCCACCACACTGGGCTTTCACCTGGATGTTAAGGATCCGAACTCACATCCTCATAGTTGTGCAGCAAGCACTTTTCTGACTCAGTGCCTCTCCTCAGTCCTCGTCCTTTATCTTTGCCTTCAGTGAAAGAGCAACACTCTAGAAATGACAGATTAGCAGACTTGTACTTTCATAGAAACTGTTTCTTGACATGTAAAGTTTTGTAAGGTTTTCGAACAAAAAGATTTAGGTCTACATCTTCCAAAAGCTGCTAAGACATCCTTCCAGCAGTTTCCTTACTCAATCCCCTTCGCCTTCAGCTCCTCTTGGACTCGTTCCAGGTAATGAGGATCAGGGTAGCCATAACTGCAGAAAAACAAAAGTACCTTTAGCCTCATCGCAAATGGTTCTTAAGAATCTGTACAATAAATCTTTTGCATTCGGATGTTTAGTATTCGGGGTTCCAAATGTTCTCAGGTAATACTGATAGTAACTGACCTACAGTTACAATGCAGTGACCATGCATGTCTGACAAACATCTGTTTTCCAACAAGACTTCTTTATCAGTTTATTCTAAACAGTGATGCTCATAAGTTTATAAAAATATGCTGTACTTCGCAGAGAAGTAATGGTAAGTTTTTCAAATTTGTGGATTTGAAAAGGCCTCAGGGTATATTTTTCTTTTGGATATCATGGGTGGAGGTATTCTGAGTTTCATAAAGTACAATCAGATTCCTATAACACACCTCCCACCACAATTAAAGATTTTCTCTAGTATGTTTTGGCGATGCAAGTTCAGAATCTCTGTAAATTGATGGGAAGCGAGGGGTACAGGAGAGTAAGATAACCTCAAAAGAAAGCAAAGTGTGGAGCTCAAGAGGTTGCTCAGCGGTTAGAGCACTGACAACTCTTGCAGAGGACCCAGGTTCAATTCCCAGCACCCACATAGCATGCACAACAGTCCGTAACTCCAGTTCCAAGAGATTCAATACCTTCTTATGACCTCAGAGGGCATTGCATGACATGGGTACACTTCCACACATGTGGGCAAAACACTCATACACATAAAAATAAATAAATAAATAAATAATATGAAAATAAATAACATTCCTAGAATCTACCTTTCACATAGACATAAAGTCCTGCATTAAGTCAACCTCAGTATCACCCATCTGGGATTCTGAAACTTTATGACTGGCAGGGTAGAAGCTTAGGGGGAATCAATCTTTTGTCTTTGAAATTATCATCTCGGATTAGCATTTTGCTGTACTAACACCATTACTGAAACGTCTTTTGATAGCCACCATCTTAAACCGCTATATTTCACAACCCTGTACTTTGTTCAGTCACCGTTACATTTCAAAAAGTTCTTACCGCTCTGGTCCTCCGGTCTGGGATGTTTTGTGGTGGATATCATTCCATGTAACAACATCTGACATTCCTGTTACTCGTGAGTACCCTACTGTGAAAATCAGCTTTTGATGAAAGGCTACCTGAAGCAGATGCAAAACTTTCCTTCCCTCTGGATTATCAGGCAAGTATGCAGTTCGCTGTGTTCCCACATAAGGCTTTCCTGGGTTTGGGTGCTCTTTCTGCATGAACAGAAGACAATGTTAACAGTCTGCTGTCTGAATTTTACTATACGAGAGGTGTGTTCATCTGCAGATGAAGTGTATTAAAAGTGAGAAAAGTATTAAAGCTTTACTCATATTTCCAATAAGTCATAGTTCTATTCAAATTCACACTGAGAACACTGTATTCCCAACTCATCCCATCCTAACACATGATCTCCAGCCATCCTTTCTCTCTACCTTAAGAAATGGATGTGAAAGGCTAAGAGATCAGTAGAGTCCTTGCATGGCTATATAAGGCCCTCAATCCCAACATTAAAAAAAAAAAAAAACCAAGAAGAAGAAGGCAAGAAAAGCTGGATGTGGTGGCATAGACCTTTTCGTCCCAGCACTTGGGAGGCAGAGGCAGGAGGAGCTCTATGAGATCAGAGCCAGCCTAATCTACATAGTGAGCTCCAGGATGGCTGGGACCACAGGGAGACCCTGTCTCAAAAATAAGTAAATAAATAAATAAGTAAATAAATAAATAAATAAATGCAAGAAAGATATCTAAGTTCTAAGCAAACAGAATGACCTTTGCCACTATCTCAGTCCCTTGCACATGATCATGAAATGATTCCCTGGGAAAACCATTATCAAAAAAGGTGACAGGATAATCCCTTTGGCTCTGGTAACTCTAGAATAGTGGAAAGAAACCCAGAGAACTCAGACACACTTACTGTTTGTGTGCCACTTCTCATGTTGTACCGAATCATAATTGTGCCACAGTGTCCATAACCTGGAAGTGACTGTCTTAAAACGGAATAAGTCATGGTTCCTTCTGGCTGATTCCCTTTCTGGATACCATAGGAAGTCTGACACACAGGACAGACCGGCTTGAGGGACATGGCTTTGTGGATACAAAGGGTGCAGAACGCATGCTTGCACTTTGGGAGCACGCGCTTGTCAGTGATGGTATCCATGCAGATGGCGCACTCTTCACCTTCCTTCTCCACCTTGGAGGCCTCAGAACTAGCAGACCCCTCAGGTGGAGGCAAAGCTGCTTTTGAAGCATTCCTGTCAATATCCATGGGTGTTTCATGATCCAAATTCAGTTTCTCTCCAGATGATGGTGACAGTCCCATTCTTTTTAAGACATACTGCTTTGCCTGTGCAAGGTGATTTGGCAAACCAGTCAAAGTCACTGACTCTCCGGCCAGCACAAAGTGTATGTTAGGGTGCCTTTTTATAAAGTCATCAGCAAATTTGGTCTTGTGTAATTGATTTCTCTCCTTACCCAAAGGGTTCAGTAACAGAACTTCTGTCATCAGCTGACAGGTGGCATGTTGGAAGGCATCAATGAAACTTGCATATGAGTGCACGGACAGATCCATCTTCTTATCCCTGGGTTCAAACAGAATGCATGTTTTCTGATTTTTCTCTAGGACTTTACTGCAAGTGTTGTAATTTTGTTCTATCTCTGATATCTCCCGGAGTAATTCTGTTTCTAGAAGCTTAAAGCGAGCAGTATCGACTTCAACTCCTGCAGTGCAACCAGAAGTCAGTATTTTCACAGATCTTCTGACAAAGTTTTGAGCAAGTTTGTCTTTGGCAGCTGAAAGGTCTTCTTGGGGCCCGAGGAGAGTTAGCGTCGCTCCTTGCTCCTTTATCAGGAGCTTTGGAAAGCAGCGACTCAACTCCTGTCTGACTTCACTTGCTCTCTTAGCGTCTGGGAGAGAGACACAGTCTTGCTTCAGGGGCTGAGTGCATTTCTGAAACTCTCTAGCAAAAGATTCACGAGCTGCCTCTAAGTTGCCTGATTGCCTGGAGACAAAGTATATGGAGACCATATTGGGAGAACAGTCTCGGATTTCAATATTTACATCAAATCTCTCCTCTATGGACTTAATTTTTTCAGGACAGGTGTGTCTGAAGTATTCAAGGAAAGGCAAGGAAACTTCAAAACGGCTCTCTTTGTCTTCTAAGTCGGCTTTTGGTTCAGGAGGGAAAATGTAGCTGTCCCAGTCTTCCTGATCGGTCGGGTCCCTCTCTGCAGCTGAAGGGGTATACTCCTGTTTCTTTTCACTTCCCATGAGCTGCTCACTCAATAAGTGATAGATCTTTTCAATATCCTTGAAGTTGCCACACACCTTCTCAATCCCATCATTGCTCTCTACTTTTATGACATCAGGACAAAGAGTGCTTATCTGTGCTCTCTGCTCTTTGGAAAGCAGTTTGCAGTTCAGGTCAGCTGTCACAGCAAGAAAAATCTGAAATTTTAAAAGGAACATACACAAATAAGATATCCCAGGCATCTAGGCCTCCTCCTCTACACCTAAGGCTCATGGAACATAGAACAAGAGATGGAGAGAAAACTAATGCATCTTTCAATTCTCTCAATAAAACTCCCTCATACAAAAAAGGGTCAGGAACACAAAAGGTCACAAATGCCAAATGTAGAAAATAAGAGTCTACAGAGTATAGGTCCTCCCATCCAGGGCTCAGGGACCATTTCATGGAAGAGGAGCAGAAAGATTATAAGAGCCAGGGAGGAGGTGCATGATCATACACTATATTAATTCAACTGTGAACCTAAGAATTTTATAGCCACTTTTGCTCTGGAAATTGTTATTGAGTATGTTAAAGCTGTAATGAAATGCTTCTTCTAAAAAAAATAGAGTCCTACAGGCTCCTGGGACCCTTTCTCATATGAACGTACAGCAATGGTGTCAGTATGCACAAGACCCATGCAAACACAAGCAGACAAAAACCTAGGACAGAACTGTGGAAATCAACAGCAGGCCCCAATCTTAGTCAAAGAACTACTGGCTGCTGATTACTGTTGGATGAGGAAGAGCTGATCTTCTAAAAGGGGAGACTCTAGTTAGGCTAACTAGATCCCAGTGGATGAACTTGCACTGAGGGACATCTGGGGACATTAACTTGACATGACAGGCCTTAATACAAACGATAGAATGCATGAATTCTAGTGGCAGCAGGGGGTGGGAGGGGGGGTGGCAGGTATGGGAAGGTGCTTCATTGAAGCTTCTGGAGCTCAAAATGTCAGCTCTTGTGAGGCCTATACATGTATTTCCCTCAGCCCTGAATGTTTGTCCCCAGAACCCACACAGCTAGGTCCTTTACTTTATTCATGTCTCTATTCAGATGAAGCATCATTTGGAAGAGGTGGTGTTTATTAAAAATACCCTATTGAGCACTTGGGAGGCAGAGGCAGGAGAATCTTTGTGAGTTCGAGGCCAGCCTGGTCTATATAGTGAGTTCCAGGACAGCTGGGGCTACAAGGAGACCCTGTCTCAAAAAGACAAAAAACCAAACCAAACCAAAACAAAACAAAAAAACCCTATTGAAAAGAGTGGCTCTATATCTGGGCAGGGTGGCACACACCTTTAATCTCAGTACTCTGGAGGCAGAGATAGGCAGATTTCTGTGAGTTCAAGGTCAGCCTGGTCTACATAATGAGTTCTGGGCCAGCTGGGGCTATAGGGAGACCATGTCTCAAAAAGGCCAATAAATAAATAAATAAATATAAATATAAATAAATAATATAAATAAATAAAATAAAAGAGTGGTCATGTCATTATTATCTATCCTGCTTTCTTCTTCCCAGCCTTTGTCACTGGTGGGCATGCTATTATAAATCTGTTTATTATTGTCTGTTTCCCTTACTAGGAGAAGGTTAAGGGCCCTGAGGGCAATCTGCCCTCATAACAATGCCTCATAACAATGCCTGGCACACACTAAGCAGTTTGTTGAATGCAGTTTTTGCACGCTGTCTCATTTTTATCATTTAATCCTCAGGAAAGTGTCACATTTGCAAGAAGTTGGCTCTGACTTGTAGTCAGAAGTAGTCCCTTCTCCCAGCTTCCCTTGCATGCCCTCACCCTACTCCTCGCTGAGCCAAAGCCCCATTTTGTTCTCCTAGCATGTATTTGTCTCTGAATTGATTTTACTCAGTTCATTTACTTGCTTAATGCTGTTCGGTGCACCTCTCTACCTAAGTATAAGCTGCACAAGAAAGGGAACCTTGTCTGTTGTGCTCACCTGTGTCCCAGTGCCCAGTGCCCAGCTAATAGCTAGTCCCCAGCACATGGTCGTTGGACCCAAATGGCAGATTTGGTGACCACAGAGGCAGGTACAGAAACAGTGCCAGCTTCCCTGTCAACACTCACCTTTTGAACAACAGAGTCAACAGAATTAAGAATAGGCCCTTCATTTGGATGCTTCTCATCAGATGGCATTTCAGCTTCTGACTGTGTCAAGGAAAAGACTGTGAAGCTCAGCGACTCTGCCTCTAACTGTGTCTTGGAAGAAGATCTTGGAGCCTCAGCTTCTAACTGTGTCTTGGAAGAAGATCTTGGAGCCTCAGCTTCTAACTGTGTCAAGGAAGAAGATCTTGGAGCCTCAGCTTCTAACTGTGTCTTGGAAGAAGATCTTGGAGCCTCAGCTTCTAACTGTGTCAAGGAAGAAGATCTTGGAGACTCAGCTTCCAACTGTGTCAAAGAAGAGACCGTGGAGCTCAGCCACTCTGCTTCTAACTGTATTGAAGAAATTCTGGATGTCGGTGTCTCAGCTTCTGACCACGTCAAGGAAGGAGCTCTGGGCCTTGGATCCTCTATTAGATTTTTGTTGTTTTCCAGGAAAATGGGCACAGGCTTTTCATCAACCATCATCATGTGCTCTCCTTTTTTCAACACTCTCTCCTTAGCTTCAGGCAAGACATTAAACACACATTCACATAAAAATGAGAGAGAATTCACATGGTTGGTTTCAATGTCCCCTCTGGGTTGATTCTGGGAACTCCCAAGGATGCCCAAACCCAGGGATGTCTCATAAAATGGCACAAGACTTGCACATAAGTTACTCATATTCTCCCATGTAGTATAAGCACCTCTGGATGACTTCTAATCCCCAACACAGAGCAAACGCTTGGTAAAGAGCTATTATACTGTGTATTTGGAGTATAATAAAAAAATACCTATACATGTTCAGTATAGATGCAATTTCTTTTCTCAAATACTTTTCCATCCCTTGTTGGATGAACCTGTGGATGTGGAAAGAAAGTGTACAGAAGGCCTGAGCAGTTGTTTTCAGCATTCTGGAATAGCAGAATGGTGATGAGGGAAGTGTGTGTTTGTGGGGGCGGTGTTCAGAACTCTAAAATTGACAGCTTAAGCTTTACTGTAGAAATGAAAATGTGATAACAAGTTTATATCACTTGGTTATTAAAAGTCATGTTCTAGTTGGGCATAGTGGCACACATCTATAATCCTAGCACTTGAGTGGCATAGGTAAGGAGACCACCTTTTCAAGGCCAGTCAGGATTACACAGCAACGCATGTCTCAAAGGGCAAAAAGATGCTGTGCTCCGGTAATTGTCTCTAGTCTCCCATTTCAATAATATGTAATAATGCTCATTATATAGTTTAAGTGGGGGGAAAAAAGAATCCAAAGTATAGAACATGTGTTTGCTGCTGCTATTTCTTCTTTTGTTTCTATATTGACCATACATTACTTTTGTAATCCTTACAAATAAGTCAGTCAGTGGGGCTTATATACAGGCAAAACGCTCATACACATAAAACAAAAATAAATAATAAAAATAATTTAAAATAAGTCAATCAAATTATTATTTAAAACGTAAAAGAAAGCCAGATGTGGTGGCGCATGCCATTAATCCCAGCACTGAGGAGGCTGAGGCAGGTGGATCTTTGTGAGTTCAAGAACAGCCTGGTCTACATAGTGAGTTCCAGGCCAGCTGGGACTACAGGGAGACAGACCCTGTCTCAAAAAGACCAAAATAAATAAGAAAATAAATAAATAAATTAAATAAATAAATAAAACACAAAACATAAAAGGATTGGGGCTGGAGAGATGGCTCAATGGTTAAGAGCACTGGCTGCTCTTGCAGAGGACCTGTGTTCGATTCCCAGTACCCACATGGTGACTAACAACCGTTCCTAACTCCAGTTCTAGGGGGTCCAATGTCCTCTTCTGATCTCTGTGGGCACTGCATGACACGAGTGCACTTGCATATATGCAAGCAATACATTCATACACTAAAAAATAAAAATAAAATAATTTTCACACACACATACACACACCCACATGTTTAAATGACAAGGACAGCAGGACGCCAGGATCAGGGAAAGGGAAACAGCAGTACTTTCATTTTTCTCTCTCTCATTTCATGTCTCTGCCTCAGACTTCTGGGAAATTTGTCCGTTCAGATAGTGCACGGAAATTATCCTTAGGAAGTAGTGAAGCCAGGCCTGGGGCTGGGTGCATTTGACTCCAACCTCCACTGCGGGAGTCTGTCTACAACAGGGTGCCTCCAGGCAATGCCATTCTCTCTCTGGGGCTCTCTCCTAGGTGGGCATAGATGGATCTGCCTGGAAAACTGCAGGATCGACCTTTGCACCCCGGCCCGGCCCCACATCCCTGCTGTCCCGGCTCACCTGCCCTTTGTAGGAACTTCACCTCGAAGGTGTCCGGGTCCTTGGGGCCCACCGGTCGCACAGTGCATTCCCCGCCATCCGATACCCGGCTCTGGAAATACTTCTCCAGCTTCCGGTGCGCCCCAGGGATGGACTTCGGCAGCCGCACGAGGAGTGGGGACGGCTGGCAGGGTCTGGAGGCCATAGCTGTCTGCGTCTGGCTCACTGGGGCTGGAGGACGCTGCACAGCCAGGACGGGGCAAAAGCGCGTCCCGCCCCTGCCACTCGGGCTGCAAAGTTTCAGTTTCGTTTCCCCGGAGGTCCCTCCCTGTTCCCCGCAGAGCCACCTCCTCCTTCTTGCTTTACCATTGCCAGTGGACATCATCCGGGTGAGTAGTTCGCATACAGGGCGGTGGGCCCTTGGGGGACGTTTCCCAGGCTCCTGGGCCCCTTCTGCAGATTGGAGGAGTGGTTGGCAGGCCTGGTCAAGGCCAGGTATCCCAAGTGAGGATATAGCTTAGGGAAGGGGTAAAACGTTTCCCCTTTGTTTCTGCTCTTTAAAACCACGGTTGTTACTAGTATTTCCTGAGAAGACAGCAGTCTGAATTTAGGCTGTAGTTATCTTTTTTCTGTTACATTGAGGTCTTTACCTACATCGTGATCTATCGCCTCTTCTCTTGCTGCAGCTCTTGTTAGATAGGCATTTAGGAATTTTCTACTCTGATTCCTTAAATTAGCCAGCAGCACTGATTTGCTGTTGCATTGCACCCTGGGGAGTAAAGTTGAGAGACTCCTGACCACAAGGGCTGATATAAAGGCCAGGGAGCCCTGAGAAACACAGAAGCAAAATCTAAAGGCTCTTAGAGAAAGTTTCAAGAAGAATCTTAAAAATCTGCAGAGAACTGGGGAGAGGAGGAAAAGGGCCAGAGAGTGTCCCAGGGTGGGACATCCGTGGTCTGAAGTCCAGAGGGTTCTGGGGCCTGGGAGGAGATGAGATGGGCCAGGGAAAGAAAGAGGAAGGGGCTGGGAGAGCTACAGTGTCCAATAGAAATCTAACAGGAACTGATGTTAATTCTAAAGTTCATGGCTATATTTTAACTTGTGTAAACAGTTGAAGTTAACCTTTAAGGTTTTTAGCTTAATGTAACCAAACTTTACTCAACATGTAATGGGACAGTTTGCATTCTTTTCTTTCTTTTTTTTTTTTTTTTTTGTCATGTTTAGCCTTTGTCATCTAGTGTTTTTCCAACATGTAATTTCACATCTCATTTTATACTAATCATGTGCCCAGTACTTAGGAGCTACATGGGCTCTGTGGTCTACCTGAGACAGCACAGGTTAGGGGGGAGAAATGGAAAGACTGGAATCCTGGGAAGCAGGAGAGGGGCACATCATAATTGGAATTGTATTTTAAAAGATGAGGCTGACAGCTATGTGCAGGACACATTTCCAAGCAGAGGTAAGTAGAAGCAGAGAGGCCAGAGATAAGTCTTTGTAAAAGGCTAGTGTGGCTAGACAGATCGGATTTTAGGGACAGCAATTTGGCAACACTCTCAGAATTACAACCCCAGTTGCTTGTGGTTCCACTTCTGGGAATTTTCCCCACTGATATAGTAGCCTTGGGGTGAATTGACCTATGGCCAAAGTTGCTCTTTTCAGCCTTGTTTATAATAGATTAAGATTGGGAGCTCCTTAAATGTCCATAAATAGGGGCCCAATACTTAAATAACATATGGTATATATGCACAATGGAATCCAATGAATAGTTAAAAAATAAGGATGAAGGCCAATGAAATGGCCCAATGGGTAGAGGTGCATGTTGTGCAAGTCTGGTGAGTTGATTTCAATTCCCAGAACCCATATAGGCAGAGGACAGAACCAGCTCCACAAAGTTGCCCTGTGACAAGCACAATCCCCTCGATCTTGCACACACACACAATATAATTTTTTAATTTAAATTTTATTTTGTATGTGTGAGTGGTTGCCTGGAATCTTGTGAGTGTATCTATGCTGTGCAATGACCACAGAGGCCAGAAAAGGGCATTGGATCCCTTGAAACTGGAGTTAAGGATGGTTATTAGCTACCATGTGGGTGCTGAGAACTAAACCTGAGTCCTCTGGAAGAACAGTAAGTGTTCTTAACTGCTGAGCCATCCATCTCTCCAGTCCCACTAATATGGACAGGGCTCTAGGATACACTAAGTGGGAAAGATAAAATGCAGACAAGTGTGCCTAAGATGCTATGGTTTGTGTAGAGACACTTCTACATACAAACAGAAGAGAATTTAGTTAGGGAAGTAGGAAGAGGCCTTTTTATGCTCTCTAAATTTGAACCATCATATGTAAAATTAGAATCTCGTCTTTGGTTAGAGTGTATCACCATAGTACTGTAAGTACAAGACTCTGAAAACCAGCAGTGTCTGGTGAACAGTAGGGTAGGGGCCTGTTTGAGAGTGATTTAGATGGTCAGGGTCCAGAAATGGGTTGGATATGGGACAAAAGAGAGATTTAAGGATAATTTGTAATTCTACTTTGAGTGGAGTAGTGTCATTTATTGAGCTGTGGAATTCAGGACCATGGATTCCGGTGGGACAGTGGGGGTGAAGTCAAGGATGGAGCTTTGCAGAAGATGTATTTGTGAGGGTTGTGCAGATAGAGTTGGAAAGTCAGGCTCAGGAGGGCTATAGCCTAGAAATACAGATATGGAAGGATCATATTTGGATTGGTGGGGTGAAGCCTGGGAACAGATGAGAGAGCACCTGCAGAGTCTGGAGAATGAGGTGAGACATGCCTCTCAACATAGAATCCTCAGGTCAGTGACTATGGTAGATGGTGGAAATAAATCCTGGGGAAAGATACATAAAGGCAAAGTAAGAGCTGACAAAAGAATCTAGAAAGAGTGGCAGAAAAGAAACCAGGAAAGCAGTCTTGGAAACCAGAGTGGAATGCTATTAGAAAGGAGACAGGCAAAGATTAGCTTAGAAGACAGTCCCTTAGGGTTGGCTGTCCCCTCATGCGGAAGGCATTGGCCTTAGAGAAGAGCAGTGAAGGATGAAGGAGGAACTGGTTTGGCTGCCTGCTGATGAGGAGATGGAAACACAGCAAGAACCAGTGCTGGAAAACATAGGAGGGCTTTTGTTTCTATGTTGTTCCTAAAATGGAAGAAAGCATGTCCTCCTTGTTTCTGACTTCTTCAGAGTTAAGTGGAGACCATCTATCCAGCCAAGTCTATCCCTAGGGCTTCAGGATCTCAAGACAGACAAGTACAACAACTAAAGCAGATCCCACAGCAGCCCTCAAGGGGCCTTAGAAGCCTTCCTTCTTTGTGAAAACAGCAGTGCCCTCTGGAGGCACCACTGGATCTTGTCCTTGCATTTTAGGATCGGACTGGGTTGCCTCCTCAAGGTATAAGACTAATTGTGCTCTGATGTTGTAGAAGGTTTTTCAATTATAAAGTTACTATAAATCACTTCAGAGACAATGATAACAAGTATGGACCATTGTATTGCAGGCATTTCATCATGAATTCAACAATTCATCATCTTTCATTCTTACCCACTAAGCTTAAATCATGAAAATGTAATTTGCCTCAATTTCCGATTTTTCCCCAGATATCCTCTGTTTAATGAGGTCAAAGTTATTTGTCACAGGTTCAGTAGAACATAGCCTATGAGGCACATGTAGTTTCTTCTTTCTTCAATTCCCTCTGGGGGTTTTCACTGTCTATGAACCCTGGGCCCAGGGCCTGGAGTTTGTTATCATCTTCACCTAAAACCTGTTCCATCCTGAGCCTGGCTCCATTCTCGCTTCCAGAAAGCTTTTCCTATTCCAGTCCCTGCAGCCTTTTCTTTTCTCAGACCTGTCATTAGGGCTTCAGTTGCATCTCTCTTAGGAAAGACAGAAGGTAACGATGGCAAAACAGCGTGGGTATCCTCTCCAATGAAATGAAAACCTATTCAAGATCAGAAATCGTGTTCCACCATCCTGTGATGACCGATTCTCCTCAGCTTCTCATCAGTGCTTACTGTATTCTCTCTATTTGTTCCCAGAAGTAGGCCACCAGATCTGGAACCTACAGTCTACACTTGGAAACACAAAAGTCTATAAACTTTAAAGATCCACTGGAGACCTGAAGGATGGCCTTTCACATGGTAAAAACATAAATATGTTTTTCCATTATGAACTTTAATCAGTACATGAAGAATTTTTCTTGTAACATCAAGAAATCTGAGGTCTTCAATTACACCTAGCATCCTCATATGGTATTTGTTTGTTTGTTTGTTTTGAGACAGGGTCTCCCTGTAGCCCCAGCCGGCCTAGAACTCACTATGTAGACCAGGCTGGCCTCGATCTCTCAGAGATCCGCCTGCCTCTGCCTCCTCAGTGCTGGGATTAAAGGTGTGCATCATTACACCTGGCCTATCCTCATATGGTTTTAATACCCCAAAGAAAGTTGTCTCCTTGTACCATGTTAGAAATGGAAAATGAAGAGCACGCTAATCTAAGGAAGTGTGGTGGTATGCAGCTATAATTTCAGCACTCAGGAAACTGGGGCAGAAGAACCACCACAGCTTCTTCACAGAGACCAGCCTGGGCTACACAGTGAAACCCTGTTGCAAAATTCAAAAACTAAATAGTAAAGCTGGGCTTGGTGGCACACACCTTTATTCCAGCACTTGGGAGGCAGAAGCAGGCTGGTCTCTGTGAGATTGAGGATTGCCTGGTCTGCATATCGAGTTCCAGGCTGACTGGGACTACAGGGAGATCCTGCCTCATAAAGACCAATAATAATAGTAATAATAATAATAATAAAATTAACAATAAAGAAATAAAATAATATGCCAATCTAATTAGAAGAATCTACTTAGGGATAAATGATCTTTTTTAAAATAATGTCATCTCCATACCTTCCTTTGAGTTGTTGGTCAGGTCGGCCCAAGAGACCCCCTCAAACAGTAACCCAGACCCCAATCTTATCTAAAGGAATATTGGCAACTGCTTTCTGCTAGATGAGGAAATGCTAATCTTCCTAAAACAAGGAACTATAGATAGGCTGACTAGACTCGGTGGATCGATAAGCACCAGGGAACGGCTAGGGGTACTGACAACACAGTGGACAGTAACAGGGATGACAGGGTATATAGGCTTCAGTTGCGGGGGAGGGCATGGGAGGGTGTCACTTGGGATGTGAATATATAGATGAATAAGATTGTTTGGGATGTTCTGTATGAAATACACACAAAATCAATTAAAAATGAGTTATATTTGAGGAAGAAGCTCAAAAATTTGCTTCACGTTACTTAGTAACTATAAAAAAACATTGCCATTGAAATCTACCTGATGACTTTATATCCATGCTCAAGTGCCAGGGATCTCAAAAAGTAACTGACTGTAACTAGTATTAATCAGGTGTATAGAGATTAGAGATGCATGTGTAAATATCTGATAGTTGCACTGAAAAATGAGTTTTTCCGTATGAAACAGTATATTTTAAAATGAAATAGGGATCTTTTTTTAAAGGTTAAAATCTCATTCAATTTTATGTCTTATAGGGTTTATATTGAGTGCAATATTGTATAACTGTATTAATTCAACTGTAAACCTAAAAATCTACAGCCAGTTTTGAAAGAGATGCATCTTAGCTCTGGAAAATGATATTGAATATGTCAACGGTGTTGTAATGAAATGCTTTTTCTAATTATGTAGTTATTAAATAAATAATTTTTTAAATGTCATCTACAGGGCTGGAGATGTAGCTCAGTTGGCAGACAGTTTGCCTAGCATGCATAAGGTCCTGGGTTTGATTCTCAGCACCACATAAATCAGACATGGTAGTAGTGCACAGCTAGTTTAAGGTCATCCTGGGCTACATGAGACCCTGTTTTTTTTTTTTTTTAAAAAAAAACAGCTTCCTGAATTTTCTTCACTCGTTCAGCAGTTCTTTTTCAGGGAGTACGAAGTGATAGAGGAGGAATGAAAACCAGGGACTAGAGAAAAACACTCATCTGAAAATTCCTCCTGAAGGTTTGTGTCAGGAAATGGGCAGCTGGAAGTAGGCCCTAAATGACAGGCCAGGTAGCTGATGAGGCCTGTGTCCTCAAGTTTTCTATTCTAACTAGGAAAACCCCCCACACTTTAGAAATTGGAGCCTGTCTAAGAACTCTGGGCCATTTTGTCTGTGGCCGTTGGGCCTTTTCAAGTGTTAATCTCCAACTTTTTGTCTTATTCTTAACTAGAAGTTCTTCAGCTGAGCATGATGGTACACATCTGTAACCCCAGCACTGGGCAGTGTGGACTGTTGGGAGTTCAAGGCTAGTCTGGGGTATGTAGTCTGGGATATATAGTGAGTTCAAGGCTAGCCTGGCCTACAGTATGAGACCTTGTCTCAAACAAACAAGCAAACAACAACAAAACCAAACAGAAGAAGTGCATTAATTTCTAGGGATACAGCTTAGAGCTGGAAAGATGGCTCAGTAGTTAAGAGCACTGGCTGTTCTTGCAGAAGACCTGGGTTTAAATTCCAGTGCCCACATGGCAGCTAACAGGATAGGGTCAGTGTTTGATGCAATGTCTTTCCAGTGTTTCAAACATACAGACTAAAAACAAAAAACCAAACAAACAAACAAAACAGCTAGGTATGCTGGTGCATGCCTTTCATCCCAGCACTCAGGGCAGAGACATGAGGATCTCTGTGAGTTAGAGGCCAGCCTGGTCCACATAGTGAGTCCATATAGGGAGACTCTGTCTCAAAAAGACCAAGAACAAAACAAAACAACAACACAAACAAAAAAAACAAGAAACCAAATAACAAATCAAAACAAACAACAAAAAAACTTCCTCTCAAATCCTGTGTTTGAATAGTGCTTCTGTTGATTTGTATTTCACTGGACTGTACATCACTAGTCACCTATAGTGTCTCAGTTTCAATTTTTAAAACAGCCATTCTCATTTTTCACAGGATGATGGAGTGATGACATACAAGGAAAGACCAGGTATGCTCACTGCACTCTTACTTATTTCAGAAAAACTTTGCTCAGACCCTCCTCAGCGGAGAAGAGGGCATGCGGTAGGAGACAGCCTCTCCCTCAAATGTTTGAGTGTGTGATTGGCTGTAGTGCCTGAGGAGATGCCAGCACCTGCTTCTGGTGGCATCTTCTTCAGAGGCAGTGTGGTGGCAGCAGACACATTCTCCCAGTTCTCACAGGGTCCCCACTCATCCTCTCCTTGTCCACAGATGTGAGGTTCTTCTTTTTAAAACACTTTTTCTGACTTATTTATTCTTTTTTTTTTTTTAATGGGGTTTCTCTAGTCCCAACCTGCCTAGAACTCACTATGCAGACTAGGATGGCCTCAATCTCACAGAGATCTGCCTGCCTTTGCCTTCTAAGGGCTAGGATTAAAGGCATGTGCTACCACGCCTGGCATGATTTATTTGTTTATTTATTTTTTATGTGTGTGAGGGTTTTTTTTTGCCTGCATGTATGTAAGTGCACCTGTGTCATGCAATGCCCCCGAGGCTAGAAGAGGGCGTTGAATCCCTTAGAACTGGAGTTCTGGACAGTTGTTAGCCACCATGTGAGTGCTGGGAACTGAACCTGGGTCTTCTGCAAGAGCAGTAAGTGCTCTTAACTGCTGACCATCTATCACTCCAGGCCTCTGAGACTTTTCTGACCACAACCCTGCAGCCAAACTTGATCAAAAAGGGTGTCCCCTGGCTCAACAAGGGCTGAGAGAGCCAAGTGGTACCTCTTTAATCCTAGGGGTGACCCATTTGAGGTTTCCCCATCAATGCTCAGGCCATTTGGGATGAGCTGCTTACTTGTGGCTTCTTTGGGTAACAGGGGTCACCAGAAGTCTTTCTTGGTGGCTCACACTAGAAATAGAGTTGAAGTAAAAGATAGATTATTATCACATTTAATCTATTTTAGGATGTGCATAAGGTTTTTAGCATCTCTGAAATAAGGCCACCAGTTTCACTGGCCTTCTTTTTCCTTTCCCAGAGGCATATGTCACAGGTTAGGTTTTCTAGGAACTGGATTTTGAGATGGAATTAGGAGTGTAAAAGGTTTATAAGAATGAAAAAGAAAAATCCATCAAACTGAATGAAAACTGATGGTCATGCTAGATGGGGGTGGTGATAATCCCAGTGTTTAGGAGGCTGAGGTAGGAGGATTATAATTCCAGGACAACATATGGAAGCCTTGTTTCAAAAAAAAAAAAAGTAAATTTAAAACATCATAACAACAACAAAAAAACCCACCCCAAACAGAGGTCTCTGCCAGCTTGAAATTGCATGTCAGAGGTGTCCCACTAGAGGCATGCATGGCCCTGCTCAGCCTTTCATGGGGTTGCCCTGACAGTAATGACCAGAGCTGAGATGAAGATTTGAGTGGCTAATATCTGGAGGCAGTGAGCTGACCAGATTTCTCGTGTCATCAGCAGACTGAAGGGGAGTCTGAGCAACACGTCTTTTAGTCTGTGACATGCAGTAAATGATTTCTTAGTTACTTGGTTGTGATTCTACATTAATTTCAGTTGTACCATGCAGCATAAGTACCATGAAGCATTTACTGGTTCTGTGTCCTTCCATCTCCCCTTAACAGGGAACAACTCTAACCAGTGACCCATAAAAATTGGATACATATCTCCTAATTATTCCTCCAGGGCTGTAACTCTGAGGCACATGATCTACACTGCCCTCCAGTAGAGTTAAGTTTCTTTTGCTGACTAATATACATTACTCATTTTGTTTCTTAGTTTCCCACTTCCCTCCTTAACCAGAACCTCTGATGTTTTCTAGATCACTTCTCAAACTGTTTACAAGAATTAATTGAATTCTTATCTCAAGGTCTGCTCCACCCACACCAAGACACTTGAAAAAATAAAAAAGTTATGAATATAGCCTCCCTTTATTTCTGACTTATAATTAAATCCTTTCTAGCACGTGTACCTGGCATGAGTTTTCCAAAACTGTTTTTACATGCATTTAAAGCATTCATGAGCTCCCTATACACAGTTTTCTCACCACCATTGTATATAATAGGGAGTACTTACTAAATGCCAGGCACAAGTCTAAGCATTTTTCAGGTGACTTACCATTGAAAACTCTGTTAGCCACTGTCTGATCACATGACTAGGTAAGAAGCAGAGTCAACCAGGGGACAAAAGGAAGCTCAGCTCTCTTAGCAAGTAAGAAACTCAGCCTCATGGTGTAAAGAGGAAATCACATCCTTTTCAAAGCAACCTCTGTTCATTTCTTTCTTGTTTGTCTTTTCTCCTCTTTTAGCCATGGATTCCCCTGAACAACACCATAGATGGCAAATTCCCATTAAACACAATGTCTTCAAAATTTTTAAAAGTAATGAGAGTCGGTTGTGTGAAGTCCTGCAGAATAAGTTTGGTTGTATCTCCACCCTGCATTGTCCAGATCTGGAAGGAAACAGCAGTGATCTTGCTCAGCAAGTCTTCAGAATAAGGCTGACTCCTGAGATAGAGTTATCTGTCTGGAAAGATGACCTCACCAGACATGCTGTAGATGCTGTGGTGAATGCAGCCAATGAAGATCTTCTGCATGGGGGTGGCCTGGCTGGGGCCCTGGCTAAAGCTGGTGGTCCTGAAATCCAAGAGGAAAGTAGACACTTGATTGCTGCAAGGGGTAAAGTACCAACTGGTGAGATAGCTATCACAAAAGCAGGGAGGCTTCCTTGCAAGCTGATTATTCATGCCGTTGGGCCTCACTGGTTGCTAATGGATAATGAGATAGCTATCAAGTTGCTGCAACATGCCATTATGAATGTTCTAGACTATGTCAACTATAAGAACCAAGTCATTAAGACAGTGGCAATCCCAGCCCTGAGCTCTGGAATGTTCCACTTTCCTCTGAATTTGTGCACAAAAACAATTTTAGAAACTATCTGGTTTTATTTCCAAAAGAACAAAGTGGTTAGTAGTTTGCAAGAAATTCACTTGGTGAGCAATGAGGACCTTACCGTTGCTTCCTTTAAAGCTGCCTCAGAAGCCATGCTAGGGAAGAATGATCTGGGCCCCTGGAAAAGTCAAGTAACCACTCCCATCTCCAACATGACTCTTCAAATTGGCCACAGCTTGACTCTTGAGATTGTCCAAGGCCACATTGAACTACAAACTGTAAGTCTTTGTTTCTCTTCTCTGGCACTGACAAAGGGGATCCTGGAATTAACTGTTACTTACTTATTAAGAGGTTTAAAGTATGTTCTTTATAAAACCATAGAAAGCATCTTTTTTGGGCTTAAGAGTGTGAACTTCAGAATCAGGCCATCGGGATTGCTATCAGCTTTGGTATTTACTAACTGAAATACTTTATCTTTCAATCTTCAGTTCCTCATCTGTAAAACACTGATAATAACAGCACTTAACATCTTAAAACTGGAATCAATACATGTGAAATGCTTAGAATAGCATTTGGCACATGGGGATTATAATTATTAGGCTATGATTTTGAGGTACTATGAAGAATTAGAATAACCTTTGATACCAAGGAACTTAAACTCTTTTTTTACTTTTTATTTTTGTTTTTTATGTATATGAGAATATTGCCTGCATGTGTGTAAGTACATCCATGTCATGTAATGCCCATAGAGGTCAGAAGAGGGCATTGGATTTCCCCCAATGGTTGTTAGCTACCACCTGGGTGCTAGATTTGAACCCAGGTCCTCTGTAAGAGGATCCAGTGCTCTTAATCACTGAGCCATCTCTCTACCCCCTAAGGAGGAACTTAAACTATCATTTTTTTTGAGGCAGGGTCTTTACCATGTTTACTCAAGCCTCAAACTTCTGATCCTCTTGCTTCAGCCTCTCTAGCACTAAAATTTCATTTGTATTTCATGTGTATATAGTCAGATGTGCGTATGCATATGTGTGGAGACCAGAGGTCTACCTTGTTTCTCAAGGGTCTCTCATTGGCCTGGGGCTTGCCTAATAGGCTAATACTGATTGGCCACCTAGCCCCAGGGATCCTCCTGTCTTTGCCTTCGCAGCACACCTGGTTGTTTTACATGATTTCTGGGGATCACAAGTAAGTCCTCATGCATGCAGGGCAAGCACTTTATTGACTGAGCCATCTTCCCAGTCCCATTATATTCTTTTATATCTAAAAAAAGAATCTATTTTTTGGGAAAATCTCATTGAGGAAACAAACAGTAAATAAAAATATTGCTTAGGCGTGTGGTCCAGCATGGTGGCCCATGCCTGTAATAGCAGTTGGAATGTGAAGGGCAGGAGGATCAGGATGATTAGGAGAATTTTGGCACTGGAGGAACAAGGACACAACCCTCTTTAGCACAGCTTTCAGAGCTAAGAGGTAGTATAGTACAAAACATAAACTATGTCAATGTATAGTCTGTTTCTATAGATGAAGAACAGATTAAAGTGGTTGCCTGTAGAATTGGTGGGTGAGTCAACTTAGGGACCCCACCGAAAGGGAAACTCATTTTTCACTAAAGACATTTTTGCCTCATTTGCACTTTCTTTAACCACGTGCAACTTAATAAAATGTAAGAACATAAGGTGGTAGAACATTCCTAAGGCTAGGTGTGGTGGCACATGCCTTTAATCCCAGCACTCAGGAGGCAGAGGCAGAGACAGGCGTATCTCTGTGAGTTTGAGTTTGAGGCCAGCCTGGTCTATATAGTGAGTTCCAGGCCAACCAGGGGCTACATAGTGAGGCCCTGTCTAAAAACCACCTAACCAAACAAAGAAACAAAAAGCAAACCAAAAAAGAAAGAAAGAAAAAAAAGACGATCCTAAGAAAATTGATTTCATTTCTTCTTTGTTACAAAACAACCTGTACAGAAATTGCAAAAAGTGATGGTGGTAAGGCAGAGAATATATATGGATACATCTTTAAAACAATCATGGTCCAAGGATGTGGCTCAATGGTAGAATGCTTGTCTAGCATATGCAAGGTCCTGGGTTCGATCCCCAGCACTGGTAAAAACAAAAGTAACACCTGAATGTGCTAGGAAGTGCATGCCTATAGTCTAAACACTGAAGAGATGGGGATGGTTCAAGGTCAATGTAGGCTACATAGTAAGGCCCACTATAAATAATAAATAAATAAATGATAAAGAAGGGCCGGAAGACATAGTTCAGTTCAGTTGGTAGAGTGTTTGCCTAGCATGCATGAAGGGGTTCAGTGCCCAGTACCACATAAACCTGGCATGGTGGCACACAACTGTAATCCCAGCATTGAGGAGAGGGAGACAGGAAGATCAGGTATTTGAGTGTTTAAGTCATCCTTGGCTATATAGGGAGTGTGAAGCCCATCAGGGCTACATGAGATGCTGTCTCAAAAACAAAACAAAGAACTAGGAAGGAAAGATTAGAATCTTGAAATATATGAGGGATAATTCAGCAAAAGGCTAATATAATGTGATAATATCGTTACATACTGGAACAATTTCTAAAGAGGACAAATGTCAATCGAATGATCACTCTCCAGAAGTATGAGTTTCTAACTGTCATGAAATAAGTTTCTGTGGATTTGGGCTAGCCAAAAAGTCATTTTTAAAGCACCTAGGGATGTAAAATTTTATTAGTCATTAAAGAAGGTGGACTTTAACAATGAATCCTGTGCTTTTTTCCTTTTTCAGACAGATGTAATTGTTAATTCTGAACACATGCATAATCTTAAAAGTGGACCTGTGTCGAAGTCAATTCTACAACAAGCAGGACTTGAAATGGAAAAAGAATTTGACAGAAAGTTTAAACTATTTTCAGGCTCTGAATTAGTATTGGTCACAAGAGGATTTAAATTGTCCTGTCGCCATGTGTACCATGTGCTGTGGCATGTAAATCATTCTATGGACCTGGTAAGTTCAAAATAAATTTATGTCTATATACCGTCATGATCTAAGAAGTTTGTTAAATTTCCATTGGGTCTCTGTGGCTGAAGCTGACCCACCACCTATTAGGTCCAGGTTGGCCTCAACCTCATGGCAATCCTCTTGCGTGTGCCCTCCAAGCGCCTGGATTATAGGCCACCACACCTGGCTTGTCTATCTTTTTTTCTGTGCTGTGTCTTATCTTCTCTTCACTAGAGAGCTTTCTAATCCCAGACTGGTCACTCAGTCACTCTCAAAGCCTCAGCTTTCCAAGGTTCTTCCGTAGATAACTGTAAGTCAGTGTGATATTCAAAAGTTGGTGGAAGTTTAAGTCTGCCCAAAACATTGACACTTCTCCAAGAGAGCTACATAGTAGATCCTAATGATATTGAACGAATGCTGTTTTCTTATTTTAGTCTCTATCTCCTTTATTGAATTGCCAAGAATAATTTTTGCTGACTTGGGAGTGGCAGGTGACAATGGCACATTGATGCTTAAAGGCTCTCTGAGCTGGGGAGATGGGTAAGGCCACATAAACTAGAAGAAATTACAGTGGCCAAATGTTATGAAGAGCACACAGTGAACCACTCAGTTGCCTCAGGTTCTCAGCCCTTACGTTTCTGGTTATCTAGCCTGACAGCTGTGGTGGGTTTCCTGGCCTCTGAGGAGGCATGGCCCTAAGTGGAGGCTCCCAGTAAATTCTGAGTGGAACTGAAGGGTAAGCAGTCTTATTTTTAACTCAAATGCTGTTCTTAAATTTCTGTTTCTCTTACAGACATTGAAAAATGCAATGAAAAACTGTCTGGAAAAATGCCTTCACCCATCAACACATTCCATTTCCTTTCCTGCCCTTGGTACAGGAAAAATTGGCATGGAGAAGAACAGAGCAGCACAGATTATGTTTGGTGAAGTTTTAACATTTGCCAAAGCACACTTGAAACAACTAACTGTAAAGTTTGTGATCTTTCCTGAAGACAGGGAGACATATAAAGTGAGTTACCATCTTCAAAATGTCCTATAGTTTGTTCATTAATTCAAAAACATCTGTTTACATTTCCAGTCTAAACCCTAGGCTAAGATTCCATAGTGTGGTGAGACTCTAACTTGGTGTAATTTCATTTCTGTAAATTGCCTACCCTTGCCCTAATAACAAATGTTGTCATTGGAGGCTGGTTCACTCTTCCACTTAGTTTTGCCCTTGCTGGTATTTATTCTTCCCTCTGCTCTTTAAAGGTAAGCATCCTCCTAGTTTCAGCATGGGGTTCTTTTTGGCAGAGTATTTCATGATGGGAAGGGCCCTGGGTAGAGCTGGCAATGGATGGTTACTTAGCAAATATTTCCAGCATATTACCTTAAGCCAGACATCTTGTCTCAGGATAAGGAATACTTCTCTGAAGTACATTGCTGGTATCTCTCAGGTCAGGTATTCACTGCTAGTGGACAGAGCTGGGAAAATGCTGCCCAAGTTTTGCCATTTGGTTTTACCTTTCCAGGTTCCCTGCAGACCATCTGCTTATAATCCACTCATTCTTCCTTCAAAGATATTGCAAGTGATTACAGTTTTCCTTCACATTTCATTCAAAAGTTTTGCCTAGTCCTTTCTTTTTTTAAATTTTATTTTATATCATATGAGTGGTTTGCCTGTATGTATGTAAGTATACCATGTGTATGCAATGCCCATAGAGGCCAGAAGAGAGAGTTGGATCCCTTGAAACTGTAGTTACAGAGAGTTGTTAGCTATCACATGGGTATTGGGAACTGAACCCAGGTCTTCTGCAAGAACAGCTAGTGCTCTTAACCACTGAGCTATCTCTCCAGGCCTGACTTGTTACAACTAACCCAGCAATACAACCTACCTTTTAAAATGACCTTCTAGAAAGCTGATTTTTTTTTTTTTACCAATTGTGTATGGCAACTTTCATTAGACTATTTATCAGCAGATGATGCTACCTCATTTATTTTATTTCCTAGTTCTTGGATAGGGAGGGCAGGGAACTACTCTGTCAAAGCCTCACCAGGTAATTAAATATGGTAAGATCAAGGGATTTTTGCTCTGGAAATAGCAGATGAAGAAATTGTCCCATAGATTAAAACACTTGATTGTTGAGCTGGTTGTAGTAGTGCATGCCTTTAATCCCAGCACTTGGGAGGCAGAGACAGAGGTAGAGGCAGGCAGAGCTCTGTGAGTATGAGGCCGGCCTGGTCTGCATAGTAAGTTCCAGGTCAGCCAGGGCTACATAGTGAGACCTTGTCTCAAAAAAACGGGAGAAAAAAGGAATAAAGAGAAGCATCATTGCTGCTTGTACTTAAAGCAAAATCTAGTGTTGCTCTCATTAACGTTCTCATCTTTTCAATAAGGTAAATTACTGCCTATTATATAAACTTTGAACAAAAAAGATATTAGATAAGGAGATTAGGAGATTTGATTTATTTCAAATAGACTGTATCTTAAAGGATATGCATGGAAATATGCATAAATGTTTTCTATAGGCTACCATAGAACAATAATTATTATATCTAACATATACTGAAGGCTCACTATGTGCCAGGTGAAATTTTAAGTACTTTATTAGAATTAGCTCATATAAAACAGATAATTTATTCCATCTGCACAGTTTAGTGTGCTTATAACATTTGGAATGATTTGTATTTCAGATCTAATTCAGTGCCTGCATTAATACCTGTTGAATGAATAAATGATGGTGCTTTGCTAGGTTTTGGTTTTCTTTCTGTTTTTCTGTGATCATTTCTCCTACATATTCTAGTCATGGTGCTGCACTTGTTGATTTCCTGGATTGTTTTAAAGCCTGTTTTTAGGCTTGTGGTAGTGGGAATGAAAACTAACCAAGCTAATGAAGTCAAATGTAGTGCGCAAAGGTAGAAAGAGATTTCTATGACTGTGGGCATATGCCTTACTATGATATGACTCTGCTGTTTTGTTTGTTGTAGGCTTTCTGTGCTGAAATGGCAAACATGTCCAAGATGCTGAATCTCAGAAGCAACAATAGTGAGTAAGAAATGAGCAGACTTAGAGCCAGGCGTAGGGATGCGTGCCTGTTATCTTGACACTTAAGGTGGAAGCAGGAAGATCAGGAGTTTAGGGTCATACTCACTTAGATAGCAAGTTTGAAGCCAGCCTGGCCTACATGAGGGCCTATGACAGAGAAGGAGAGGGAGAGGGGGAGGGGCAGGGGGAGAAGGAGGGGGAGGGGAAAGGAGAGAGCGGAGGAAGAAGTGGAGGAGGAGAAAGAGGAAGAGGAGGAGGAGGAGAAGGGGGAGGAGGGAGGAGGGGGAGGAAACTCCCACCATGGGCACATTCTGTTTTTGATCATCAAAATAAGCCAAAGATTCATTTGCTCCTGATAAGATACCAAACTGTGTTATACATGGCCACTATTCTATTCTTGCTCAAATTTCATGAGATCAATAGATTGAAGCTAACTTGCAGTAGATATCCAGTGTGGGTAGTCCATTCACAAATGAGCATCTATATATTTTTTATAAGTAAATTCTGTCTTCCATAAACAGTCTAAGCTTAGTCACGCTTTCTGCTCCAAACATATAAATGGGATTACTTAATTTCAGAAAACACATCTCACACTAACCCAGTACCACTTAAACACCTGCGTAATCACTGTCATCCTGAGAGAAGCCTTAAACCAAAGAGAGAGAGAGAGAGAGAGAGAGAGAGAGAGAGAGAGAGAGAGAGCCTACAGATTCTGACTATAGATTCTGATTCAAGAACTCTGGGTCTAGGTCAAGCAGATCTCTTAAAAATCTCTCTAGTTATAATTGTATAGCTGAGCTAGGTTTAGGACCACTGGAATCACTGGGTTAAACCATTCCTGGCTGTTGGGGGCTAATTAGTTTGTCTCACACTTTCATCCTGTGGTAGCATGTGAGTGGACTGAGGTGGAATATTCAGTGGCCCAGCATCCCTGGATGTGCAGAAGGGGTAACTTCAAGAGTCTCTGTCTGGGATAGTGCTTCTTAGGAGACTATATGTTTGTCTGTAAAGTGGTGATAATAATAGACAATTATGAGCCAATAAAATAGCTAAGCAATCAATAAAAGCACCTTCTGACATCTATATAGTGAGTTCCAGGCCAGTTGGGCCCCAGGGAGACCCTGTCTCAACAAACAAACAAACAAACAACAAACAAACAAATAAGAATGGCTCTCTGAACAAGAATGTTTCTAAGCTGACCTTTAGGATGACAATATCTCCAGTGGCTGCAGGGGTGGGATAGCACCTGAGATGAACAGGACCAAACAAATGCATTGCATTTTAGGAGGTCACATGAAATATAGAGTAACTTTATAAGAACAACGTTTTAAGAATGGGATTTTAGGTAAAGCTAATACAAAATGGAATGTAAGATAGTGATGTTCTTGGATTATCAAGGAAAGGTTAAACTTTTAGGAAGGAAGATAAGTATGTTTTCATTAAGAATATTTAGCTAATAAATAGTTAAGATTCAAGGTACTTTAGTTCTCTAGAAATTTCCTTTAGTGATTTGAATAATTTAGTTATCTAAAACAATCCCTTTCTCCTAACGATGGATCAAGGAAGTACCACCATATACTGTCTTCATGTCTTTCTAAAAAGCAACATAACATGCTCCCAAAAGAGTAATAAGACAGCAAAAATTAAAATATCTTTTTCACTTCTGTTGTCTTAAACGTTGGCTTTTATTTTTTCTCCACCGGGACCTTCCTTCCCCTTTCTTCCAGTTCTGTTCTAATGCTTTTTATAGCTCCTGGAGCCACCCAACTATTTTATCAGTAGAAAGGTGCTGACTGTCCTGTTGCCTGGAGAACACAACTGAAAAGCAGAATTGTATGAGCATTGGGGTCAGGTGCCCACACCCACTATCTTCATGGACACATTTAACTAGTCCTACAGCCATGAGCAAGCTGCTTAACTGACTTTCTTAATTTGTAAAATCAGACTACTAATAGGACTTATCTAATGAGGTTGTGAGGCTTAAATAATACATGTAAAGCCCTTGGAATAATGCCTAGAACAGTTCACAACTTGCTTTTTCTCCCCTCAAAATATATTTCTGAAATTCATTCATGTAAAGGTAATTTCTTTTCATCAGTATAATAATTCCATTGTTTAGGAGCATTATGTTATTTCCAGGTTTTGCTGCTGCCAATTAGAATAGGAACTTGGCCAGCAAGATGGCCCAGCAGGTAAAGGTGCTTGCTGCCAAGCCTGAGACCTCAGTTTAATCCAGTGACTCTTAAAAGTTGTTCTCTGAAAGATTTTCTCTGAACACACACACACACACACACACACACACACACACACACACACACACACTAAATGTTTGTTTTTAAAGACTGTCTGATTCTCAGCACCAGCATCAGGCAGCTCACAATTGTCTGTAATTTCAGCTTCAAGGGATCTAATGACTTCTGGCCTCTATGGGTGCCTCATGGACATACCCTCGCACAGACACACAGACACACAGATACACACACACACACACACACACACACACACTGTTAAAAACTAAAATCTTAAAAAATAATGTCTGATAAGATGGCTCATCATTTAAAAGTACTTGCTACTCTTGCAGAGGACCTAGGTTCAGTTCTTAGTACCCAGATGGCAGCTCACAACTGTCTGTAACTCAGGTTCCAGGAGATCTGATGCCCTGTTTTGGCCTCTGAGGGAACCAGGCATTCAAGTGGTGCACTTCCATACGTTTAGGCAAAACACTTATATACATAAAAAATAAATCTTTAAAAAAAGAATATGAGCTTTGTAAGAGTTTCTTTTCACTTATTTTTATTTATTTTTATTTTATGTGTATGAGAATCTTGCCTGCAATATGTGTCCTACAATGCCCACAGAGGCCAAGGGAGGGCTTGGATCTCCTGATTGGAGTTATGGATGGTTGTTAGCTGCCATGTTGGTGCTAAAAACTGAGCCCAGGTCCTCTACAAGAGCAGCCAGTGCCCTTAACCACTAAACCATCTCTCTAGCTCCTCCTTTCTTTCACTTAAAAATATTTTTATTGATTCTTTGAGAATTTCATACAATATATTTCGATCATATTCAGACCCCTTCCTTGCCAGAGTTTCTTTAAATAAAACCACTATTCTAGTTTATTATTTAGTTTATCTGCCATAAATACTTAGGAGTTCTGGTTGCTCTACATGCTTCACAACACTTGATATCTATAGACTTCTGAATTGCTGCTAGTCTGGTAGGTGAATGTTCATTTCTCTGGTTTTTCAAACATCTTTTCACATAGATATGGGCCATTTATGTTTCCTTTTCTGTGAAATGCTTTGCCCTACTGGTTTGCTGCTTTTTTCATGGTTTGAGGAAAATTTATTTATTTATTTATTTATTTATTTATTTATTTATTGAGACAGGGTTTCATATTGCCCAGGCCAGTCTCAAAATATCTGTGTAGCCAAGGCTAGCCTTGAATTCACAATCCTTCTGGCTCCATCTTTCATGTGTAGGGCTCACAAATGTGCACTACCACACCTGGCTTTAGTTTTTTGTTTTTTGTTTTTTTCTAAGAAATTTCATTCCTTGAGCACTATAGCTTTAGTTGTTTGATTTTAGGCCTGCTAAGTGCAAGAGGTTAAGGAACCTCTCACTTAGCAGGTAAGACCAGGTGAACTCATCTGTGAATTGATAAATGCTGCACAGCAGAGGCCAGATATGACAAAGCCAACCCCTTACAAGCTAACTGATACATTTCTAAGGAGACCAACACATGTAGATTCCCTTTCTTATCCAGTGCAGTTTCAGGCACTTAACTGAAGCTGCTCCTGCTAACAGTGGTGGCAATATCCTGGGGCAAACAGGGGCTGTGATATTTTGCTCTGCACTGTTGTAAAATTACCAGCCTTCTATGGTTGCTTTGGATAGCTATTTTAGCCCCCCAGTGGACCAGAGAGGAACAACGACGAAACAGGTTTGAAGCTGGATCTCCTACTATCAACCTCATGGGATTAAACATGGAAGAGATGTGTGAGGCAGAAAAATGGATTCAGAGGTTACTGACTTCCCAGGACCACCACATCATTGAGAATAACCATATTCTTTACCTCGGGAAAAAAGAGCACGACATACTTTCTCAGCTCCAGACAACCTCAAATGTCACCATTTCAGAGACTGTCAATCCAGGAAAAGCAATTTTAGAGATTAAAGGAGCCCAGGCTGACCTCATTGAAGTCGTTATGAATATTGAGTGTATGCTGTGTGACGTTCAGGAAGAAGTGGCAAGAAAAAAGGAGAAAAGTTTTTGGAGCTTCTCAGGTGAGTAACTTGCTATTACATTAAAAAGTTTTCTCGCAATGGGCATAGTGGCACATGCTTTTAATCCCAGCATTTGGGAGGCAAAGGCAGCCAGACATCTGTGAGTTCAAGACCAACCTGGTCCACAAGGGAGAGAAGCTGTCTCAGAAAAAAACAAAAATCCAGCTTTCCAAAGCTGGGTGCTGTGGTGCTCTCCTGTAATCCCAGCACTCGGAGGATGGAGGGAGGAGAGTCAGGAGCTCAAGGCCGCGTAGTGAACTGGTGGCCAATCTGACCTACCTAAGAGCCTGTCTCAAAAAACCTAAACGAGAAAAGACAGCTCTCCTCATTATTCCTTCTGGTCATGAGTGTGTTTGTGTCTGTGGAGGATAGAACCAGAGAAGAGAGAACAAACCATTGCTTCAGTGTTAGCTCATATACTTTTCTTCAGGGGGTATGGTTTTAAAAAATTGCTTTTATTTTTTGAAATTTTATACATGTATACAATATATTTTGGCCATACCCACCCCCATTGCCTTACTCCAACTCCTCCTGGAGCCCTGCCCCCATGTTTCCCTCCCAATTTTGTGTCTTCTTGGGTTGTTTTTTTGTTTTTGTTTTTGTTTTTTTTTGAGACAAGGGTCTTACTATGTAGCTCTGGCTGGCCTGGAACTCACTGAGATCTGCCTACCTTTGCTTCTGGAGGGCTGGGATTAAAGGCCTACACCACCACACCTGGTGATGTCTCTTTTTTAACACACTGAGTCCAATTAGTGCTTCGCAACAGATGACTGCTAGCTGCCACGTGGGTGCTGGGAACTGAACCCTGGTCCTCTGCAAGAGCAACCAGTGGTCTTGACCACTGAGCCATCTCTCCAGCCTCATGTTTTTTGTTTTGTTTTTTGTTTTTGTTTTTTTTTGAGACAAGGGTCTTACTATGTAGCTCTGGCTGGCCTGGAACTCACTGAGATCTGCCTACCTTTGCTTCTGGAGGGCTGGGATTAAAGGCCTACACCACCACACCTGGTGATGTCTCTTTTTTAACACACTGAGTCCAATTAGTGCTTCTGGTATGTTCATGGATGTAGTGCCATCTACCTGCATACGAGCAACTTACCAGGGCCTACATTCTCTCCTCCCGTAGCATCAGCTGCCAATAGTACCCTGGCTAGATAGGGTTGGGCCTTACCAGTGCTGGAATTTTGATTGGCTTGATACTGCTTATGCAAGCAAACACAGCCACTGTGCATTTATATGTCCAATGGCCCTGTTTTGTCCAGATTTTTTTAAGGTAGGGGCTCATGTAGCCCAGGGTGACCTTGAACTCACTATGTACCTAAGGATGACCTTGAACTCCTGCTCTTCCTGCCTCTGTCTCCTGAGTGCTGAGATATCAGGCTTGTGCCACCATGCCTGGCCTCATTTGTTTTGGAGACAAGATCTCACACTGTAACCCAGGCTGTCCTGAATCCCATTATGTAGCCAAAGCCGGCCTTGAACACAGAACACAGACCTATCCTCCTGTCACAGTCTCCCACTGGGATGGCAGGTGTGAGCCACCATTCCTGCCTCAGGTTTTAAAACTTAGGTGAGCTATTTTTTGACTCTTTCTACCGTTAGGGTTATTTATTAATACATGGAAACAAACATGATTGGATTTCCTTATGGTGACATAGATTGCTTAAGAGACAAGTGCATAGAAAGCCTACCATAAAACCTAAACCATAGTCATGGAGGATAAAAAGGCACGCCTAATCTGCAAATGGAGCATTCACATGTAGATACAGGGGACTGGAGAGATGGCTCAGCAGTTAAGAGGACTGGCTGCTCTCATGGAGACTGGAGTTTGATTCCCAGCACCCACATGATGGCTAACAACCACCTGCAACTCCAGTTCCAGGGTATCTGATACCCTCTTCTGACCTCTGTGGGCATCGCACACCACGGGTGCACTTACACGCATGTAGGCAATACACTCATGTGAATAAAATAAAGATAATAAAATATTTCTTAGAAAACAAATGTAGATACATTTCACCTGGTTATTTTCTTTGAGTTTTATTATACTTATTTGTTGCTGGCAGCATTTGGATCTCTAAAATTACTATTTTGAGCCCTGTTACCAACAAAAATATTCATTGGTACTGTGAGCTACACTTATGTATTCCCCATTCAATGGGGCAGAACTCACCAGAATAACCATGGGAATCTGGATTAGAGAGACCCTTTTAACAGAGTGCTAGAGCTAACTAGGATATCATCTCAATTATGATGCTGCTTTGAGTGGTAGCATATTTTATGATCCCAGCACTCAAGAAGCTGAGGCAGAATTATAGGTTCTAGGCAAGTTTAGGCTGCATAGTGAGATAGAGAGACCCTGTCTCAAAACAAAGCAAAACAAAACAAAACACACCAACCAGACTATAAAAACATAATAAAATGCCTGGAATACAGAAGATTATTCCATTCATTTGTTCTCCTGCTGCATACTGTAACCCATGGTATGTGCCAAGCACTGTGCTAGGTACTGAAGATCAACAAGGGGGACATTGTCCTGCTCAGAGTCTAAGAAGCAAGCAGGAGAGCTATGACAGAAGGTGAAAATACTCTGAAGCACAAAGGACACCTTATGTCAACTTGGGAGACCAGGGAAAAATCTTTCTGCAGGAGCTATAGTAAATGGAGAACTGAAAAGTGCCAGTTAACTAGGCAGAGAAACAAAGTCTCAAGAATGAAGAATACGGGGCCAGGCAGCTGTGGTGGCAGAAGAAATAATACTAGCACTCAGGTGGTAGAGGCTGAGGATTGGGAGTTCAAGGTCATCCTCCATTGCCTCACAAGTTTCAGGCCAGGTTGTCTTAAGAAACAAACAAACAAGGGGCTGGAGAGATGGCTCAGAGGTTAAGAACACTGCCTGTTCTTGCAGAAGATCCAGGTTCAACTCCCAGCACCCACATGGCAGCTAACAACTGTCTGTAACAGGGGATCCAGCAGCTTCTTCTCTCCACCGTGGGCATTGTATGTCACAGGTGCACTTACCTACATGCAGGCAATACACGCATACACATAAAATTAAAATAATAAATGAAATAAAAATTTTAAAAAGAAACAAACAAAAAACCCAAACAAGCAAAAAAGAGAGTACGGGGTCTATCTTATACAAGACACTATAAATCACATGAAAAAGGTCAATTTTCTTTCTTTAAGCAAGTGGGGAACCTTAAAGGATTTTAAACAAAGATCAGATCAGGCTTGTGTTAAAAAGACCCCTGGTTGTAAAATGGAGAATGGATTTCGTCAGAGGTTCAAAAACACAGATGCAAAATTTCAAAGATACTTAATTTCCTTCATATGTCTGTAAAAATAACCCAGGAAGAAATGGCCAAAGTGAACATGAATTTGCAATAAATACTTCAGTCATATTCTACAGAAAACTTAGGGTCAAAAAACATGAATAAGAGTCAGGAGAGATGACTCTGGTTAAGAATACTGGCTGCTTTTGCAGATGACCCAATTTTGGTTCCCAGTACTTACATGGCAGCTAACCATTGCCCACAGCTCTAGATTCTGACGCCTTAGTCCAGCCTCTGAGGGTATTGACACACAGGTGCACTTACATACGTGCAAGTAAAACATTCATATATATATATAATAAAAATAAAATAAATTAACAAACAAACAAAGGCTAGGCATGATAACAAAGGCCTGTAATCTCAGCAATCAGGAGACAGAGGCAGGAGGATCAGGAGTTCAAGGTCATCGTCAGGTACAAAGTATTCAAGGGCAGCCTGGGCTATCTCAGACTTTGTCTCAGAAAAATAAAACCAAACAAACAAAAGAAAGGACAGTGGGATAACCAAGATTATGATTTCCACTTGGTTTTTGATAGGGAATGAGTGTTAGCTCAGAAGACCCAGCTACTAGCAATGTAATCATGGAAATCTGGTGTTCCACAAATGACATTTTTGGTACATGACTAAGCATGTTACTTCACAGTAGCATTTCAGAGGTTCAAGCAAAACATCATTCCTTAGACTAAAATTTATATTAACAGAGTGGATAATTTGAAATTCTACTCTAGGGATTATCAACTATATATTAGAAAAATAAAATAAAAACTGAAGTTAGGCAGCACCTCTTTGTATGCTGTTTGTTTAATCCTTTCTGGTACATTCCTCTGATTATAAAAGTTTGTGAATCAAAAGATGGTGATTAATTGTGTCTCCAGTGCCAAACCCTTCTAGAGCCTGGTATACAGTAGGAGTTAATGTTTGCTAAGTTCAGGAGAACTGAACTGTGATATTATACTTCATAAATGTGAGCTATTGGTCTCTAAATTCAATGGAGAATCTCTTTCTTTGAAGTTTGGGTCCTGGAGCGCCTCTGCTGTGGATTTGTCCCTCTTGCTTTCTCAGATTTAAAACTTAATTATCTAGGGAATTACTGTGAATTTATTACCAGCTTTTGATGTTAAATTGAGTCCATTTGATTAGGTAATGTGCTTGGGATTGGGTTATTTTAGTATGCTTGGTCTTGAGTCAAACTGAAAATTAATAGATATAAAACAAGGTGTTTTTTTTTTTTGTTTATTTTTGTTTTTGTTTGTCGATCTGTTGTTTAGTCAAATATAGAGCTCACTTGGACAAAAACAGGTTGCCTATTGAATTTCAAAAAGGAAGGAGAAGGCCAGGCGAAGTGGTACAAGCCTTTAATCCCAGCAGAGGCAGGTGAATCTACATTTGAGTTTCAGGTCAGCCAGAGCTGCACAGTGAGAACCTGTCTTAAAAATAAGGGGTGGGGCTAGAAAGGAAGGATGGAGCAAGGAAAGAAAATGAAGGAAACATAGAAAGATAAGGAAAAGAAGGAGAAAGGGGAAATAAGACTTGGTAGACTCATCTCCAAATTTCTTTCTTCTTGCTGGGTGGTATATGAGTGATAATATTCCTAGTGTTTTGTTTTGTCTCTGTCCCAGTTACTTTTATTACTGTGGCAAAACACTGACCAAAAACAACTTAGGGGAGGAAAGGATTTATTAGGTTTATGGTTCCAGAGTGGTAAGAGTCACCATGGTGGGGAGTCACCATGGTGGAGAGTCATGGCAGGAGGCAGCCAGAGCAGAAGACTGAGGGCTCACATCTTCAAGCAGGGACAGGAAGCAGAGAGAGCAAAACTGAAGTGGACATGACTATGAACTCTCCAAGCCCACCCCCACTGACCTGTTTTCTTCAGCAAGGCCACACTTCCTAAGCCTCCACAAACAGCACCACCAACCGAGGCCAAGTACTCAAATACTTGGAGCCTATGTGGGGCATTCCCATTCAAACCACCACAGATTCACAGAAAGCACTAATAAAAGCCAGGTTGATAACTGTAGATGCTCCTTTACTAGGCTTGTTACATTGGGCAAGTTACTTGACCTCTCTGAGCTTCAATTTCCGTATTTATTAAGTTGCATAAAGTATTTCATTGTGGTAATATGATGATCAAATGAAGTAGAAAATTAAAATAGATGTGAAAACTCTGAAGTGTTATATAATCATTTGAAATAAAATCTGAGATCCAAGGAACCCACTGGTAGGCCACAAAGAACACTCAGACAAAGAAAAAGTAACTGCCAAGGCAGCTTTTATTTTTACAAAAGGGTGTGCTGCATCTTTAGATGGAACAAGCACACCTAGTTGGAAGTTTGGTAAGTTTTTATCCTAATGTAAAAGTACAGTGGGGGCTGGAGAGATGGTTCAGCAGTTAAGAGCAATGGCTGCTCTTGTAGAAGACCCAGGTTTGATTCCCAGCATCCACATGGTAGCTAATAACTGTCTGAAACTTCAGTTCTAGGGCATCCAACACCCTCTTCTGGCCTTTTTGGGCATTGTACAACACAGGTGCACTTATGTACATGCAGGCAAAACATTCATACACATAAAATAAAAAGTTAATTAATTAATTTAAAAAGTACAATGTCTTTTTCCCTACTGCCTGGGATCCAACCTTATAGTCTTTCACAGTTGTCTAGTTTTAAAATAACAGGCACAAAGGAAATGAAGAGGTAGGCAGCTCTGGGCCTCAAATTCAAGTTCTGGGGTGCAGCAGGGTCTTTGTATAAATAAAAGTTTTACAAGGAGTGTGTGTGGAAGGGGGGGTTACAAAATAGCATTACTGAGTTGGAGAGATGACTCAGCAAAGAGTACTGACTGCTCTTGCAGAAGACCTGGGTTCAAATCCCAGCACCCACATGTTGACTAACAACCATCTGTGATTCTAGTTCCAGGGAATCCAACCCCCTCTTCTGGCCTCCACAGGTACACATGACATGGCTACACTTACATACATGCAGACATAAAACTCATACACATAGAATAAAAATAAATTTAAAAAATAGTAGTACAAAGGTTATATTCCTGTGATCATCCTTTTGATAGAACATACTTGAATTCTTTGAAATAATGTTGCATTATTTCCCATTATTTCTTCATGCTTTCCTAATTCTTTCTTTATGCATCCTGGTTGGAAATACAAACATTTTCTATTAGTTACACAACTGTATATCATGATTACAGCTCTGATTGTGGGGGATGGAATGTAAATAATGTATTTTTGTTCTCACATCTTTAAAGCCTCATGATTCAAATCATCCAAGGACAAATTCCTTAATCCTCCATTTTACTCTGTAGTATTGTACTGTAATTGGAGTTGCAGACTCCAGCAGCCCCAACAGGCTAAGCACAGCCACACATCCCAAATAAGAGTCAAGGAATGGTTCAAAGCAGAGAAAGATTTCAACAGGACACACTGAGAGGAGGAAGGGATAAAGGGTTCTAGTGCCCCCAGTCTCCTCTTCAGGTTACTTATATGAGCTTTACATCTAAGAAAAGATGACTTGGGATGGAGGGAGAGTTATGCATAATTAAGCAGTCCTGGTCAAGGTATTGTCCTGCCCACTGTGGCCTCAGTTCAAGTCCTGCAAGGTGGGCTCATAAAGTATTAATCTGTTAATCACTGTCATCTAAGGTGGGGACTAATCAGATTTCTACAAAATGATCTGCTCTAGGGTATAACCTCTCTATCCAGACAATTGTTCTTATCTTGGAGGTGACCTGTCCTGCCTGAGAGGCCTTGTTGTTCCTGGAATCCAAGACGACTTCAGGTTTAGGTGATTTCAGCCTCAAAGGGGGATGAGACAGGTTAGATAGACAGACACTTCTTAGTGATTGTCTAGGCAGAGCTAAGCAGGAATCGGACCTGAAGTCAGAGACAGACATAAACTGAGGTGCCAGCTTCCCCTCTGTTTTTAGATACCTTCCAGTGCCAAATAGAGAGCAATGGTTTTTGTTTTTAAGCAGAAGCAACTTCTAAGTGCCTGTTACAGCTTTTCCTGAATGTGGTTCAGGAAAAAGTATAAAGCATGTGGTTGAAATGGGCTAATCTTCCAAATTTTTAACTTTGTTTCATTAAATTTCCTTACATTTTTTCCTGTGTTTATGGAGCACTGAAACAAGATTTTGTCTTACTCCTTTTTAGGACAATGGACTGATCAGCAACCAAAACAGGATGAGATGAAAGAAAATACATTTCTGAGATATCTAGTACCAACTCAAGAACTTAAATATCAAATGAAACAGTTTGAAGAGTGTGGTTTGCAAGTTAAAAAGGTATACCTAATTAAGAGGGGAAATCTGTCCCATATTTACTATTAATTAGCTTGGTTCTGTAGCCAAAAGGAAAGTTCACCTGCCAATGACTCTTGCTAGCCACTCAGTGACCTAGAATTCAAGGAGTTAGACTGGGCAAGGTATAGGCAAGAAGGCTGTAGCTGGAAATGGAGGTGGAAATGATGTCAGGACACACAGAAACATAGATTCATGATCCAGGAACAAGAGCTCTACCCATCAGCGAGCATAACAAAATTTTTATATGTCCAGTGTTTCTCATACTGGACTATCATGTTTACCAATTTTTTTGGTCTTTTTTGAGACAGGGTCTCCCTGTAGCCCCAGCTGGCATGGAACTCACTATGTAGACCAGACTGGCCTTGAACTCACAGAGATCCACTTGCCTCTGCCTCCTGAGTGCTGGGACTAAAGGTGTGTGCCACCACACCCAGTTATGTTTACCTATTTTTATCTCTTACTAAACCCTGAACTTTAATGGGACAGGCATAGTATCTGTATTGTTGGTCATTTCACTATCAGTGCCTGGCACATAGAGATTGCTCAGCAAATTTGTGTGTATGCAGGAGGATGTGTGTGCACGTGTATGTGTGTACATGTGGAAGTCAGAGAACAACCTTGCCTCTTGTCCCTCCTTAGATAGCACCTACCTTGGGTTTGATTCAGGGTCTCTAACTTCTACCTGGAACTTATCAAGTAGGCCAGCTAAGCCAGTTGGCCACTGAATTCCAGGGATCCACCTAACTCCACCTCCCCAGTGCTACAATGCCTGACTTTTTAAATGAAGGTTCTAGGGATTGAACTCAGGTCCTCGTGCTTTCAACTCATACAATTTACTGACTAAGCCATCTCCCCAGCCTGTGAATTTTTACTTTAAAAACAAAAATCTTTTTTAGACAGAGTCTCATGTAGCCCAGGCTGGCTTCATACTTACGTAGCTGAGATATTCCTTGAACTCCTCCTGATCCTCCTGTCTTCACCTCCAGAGTGCTGGAACTACAGGCACACAGTTGGCTTTTAAAAGTGCTTTTATTGGGGCTGGAGAGATGACTCAGTGGTTAAGAACTCTGGCTGCTCTTGCAGAGGACCTGGGTTCAGTTCCCAGTGCCCACAGGGGATCCGACGCCCTCTTCTCACTTCTATGGGCATTGCATGCATGTGTGCACCTATATACATGCAGGCAAAACACTTATACACATAAAATAAAAATAATTTAAAAAATACATTTATTGAAGAAGAGGTAGAAGATTTTGAAGAGAGAGAAGACAAACTTGGAGAGGACTAGAGACAGGAGAAGATCTTACACAAGTTTATATGAAAAGCAAACTTCATGTAACTCATGCACATAGCACCTGTATTTTCAAAGTAGTGCAAGAGGCAATTTAATACCAGTTTTTCAGACCAGTTGAGTTTGTTTTTCTTTGCTTATAGGTAGAACATATAGAAAATGTAGCGCTCATGGCTGCCTTCCAAAGGAAGAAGAAAATGATGGAAGGGAGAATGCAGAAGGCACCTGGGAGCCAAAGGCTGTTTCTGCAGGTCCCACACCAGTTCTGTGATATGGTGTGCAGAGTTGGATTTCACAGGCTGTACTCTGCACCCTGTGGTAGGTATCAAGCCCTCATCCTCAGCACTGCCCTGGTGGGCATTGGCAAGCAGACATCAGCATATGGCTGTGGGGATGGGATCATTTGTAACTGGGCTTTAGAGTTGGTCTTTTAGAAGTGGTTGTATTTTTTTCCTTCCTGTCTCTCATTGGTAGGTTTTGCATTGATGGTCATGTAAACAGTAGGATCTATGCTTCACTGCTTTTCTTCATTTCTGTTCTATGTCCTATATGCCTGTCTGCAGAGAGCACTTTAGCATGCAACCGCTAAAGTTAAAGTTTGCTTTACTTCCCTTACCACTGACACCGCTCAGTCATCCTCATCCCTTAGTTAGATTAGTTAGAAGGACATTGACTTGAATTCAAGAACATTTTTTTCTCTTTCATTCTCTTAATCTCTTGAGAATGGATTGGGTAGCATGGTGAAATTCACTGGCAAGCAAAATGAATAACATGTTAAGTTCCTCTGATTTACAGGAGTTCTGTGTGTTGCTTCCATTTCTTTTTAGTTGTTCAGAAACATGAGGTAATCATTATAGTGACCCTTTCTTCTTGAGTCACCATTGAGAATTTTTGGCTTTAGATTTCTCCAAAGAAAGCTAGGAACTTTAGCAATAATCATGGGTGGATGACTAGTGACACAGCTTGATTTCACAAGAGTCATTAAATATGTGGCTCTTGATCTTTATCTTTCAAACATGTGGCATGATTCTCGCTATGGAGCCACTTCCATTAGTTTCTAGAAAGCAAAGAGTCTGGAAATTATCTTTTCTTAGTTCCAGAGAGAATTTAGGCAATGCCAGGAATCTAAGCAGTACCAATGATCTGAACACAGACAAATCCTGGGGTAAATAGACTAAGAGATTCCATTGAGAAGCCTTTTAATTTCACCCAAGAAAGATTATCAGTGTGGTCCTTTCATTGCCAATCTACACTTTAAATCTACATTAAATCGACAACCTCCTTGCCCCTTAACTGGTTCTCTGCAATATCCACTCCATTTCTATTAATATTTAAGCTACTCTAAAATCAGCACTTTGTTTTTCCAAGTCTGGTAAATGCCCTTTTTTCAGGCCAGGGCCTGGCATTGCTAATTTCCTAACCAACATCTATATATACCTGTGATGGTCCATTTGATTGTTAACTTTATTAGACTAAGAAACACCTAAGAAGGCTGAGTGTTATGGTGCATACCTTTAATCCCAGTACTGTGGAGGCAGAGACAGGTGGGTCTTTGTGAGTTCAAGAATAGTTTGGTCTACATAGAGAGTTCCATCCAGGTCAGCCAAGGCTACATAGTGAAACTCTGTCTCAAAAAAACAAAACAAAGAAACAAAAACCTTTCCCTCTTAGAAAACCAAACTCCAGAAGATAGGATTTCAAAACTGCAACAAATATATCGTATATATACACATACACACATATGAATATTTATGCACATATATTTTTATTTCTCTCTATATATATATCAATAGGCTTTGTTCTAAGCTTTCTTTTTTGCCCTTGAGGCAACAATTATCAAGAACTCAGTGGAGGGCCAGGTATCTTGGCACAGGCCTCTCTAATCCCAGCAGACGCAGGCAGATCTCTATGAGATTGAAGCCAGCCTGGTCTACACAGTGAATTCTAGGCCATCTGGGGCTGCAAGGAGACCCTGTCTCAAAGAAGAGGAGAAAGAGGAGGAGGAGGAAGAGGAGGAGTAGGACGAGGAGGGGGAGGAGAACTCTATGAAAGAGGAACAAAAATCAAAAAAGAAACTCTTGCAAAGGAAACCTTTTGGTTTTGATCTCAAACTATTATGTCGGCATATAGAATTGTACTGTTTTCTGCTTATATGCAGGGGTTTCTCTCTGTGAAGTTTTGAGAATAGGGATCCTCTTGCAGTCATTTTTGAATATTTAGACCTGCACTGTTCAACATGGTAGCTGCAGCCACCTACATCTACTGAGCATGTGAAGTCTTATTAATCTGAACTGAAATGTACTGTAAGAATAAATTTAAAACACACTAGATTTCACAACCTACTATAAAAAAACTGTAAAATAGCTCCCTAGTGAATTTTAATTTGATTAGATATTAAATAACATTCTTACTCTAATAAGTTAATTTCATCCTTCTTTTTTGTTTTAAATATGACTACCAGAAAATTTAAAATGACGTAAGTGGCTTATATCATCACATTTCTATTTTCTAGTGCTGTTCTAGAACATGAGGGGATGGGAAGAAAGAAGGAATAACATAGCTTCACAGAAATTTTAATTTTTCCCTCTACGTGAAGTTATATCTTGTATATATGCATGCATGCATCTGTTTATTTTATTTTCAGTGCTGAAGCATGAACCATTGCTTTGTTCATACTTTTATATGTCAATGAGCTATACGCCACCCATCTTCTAAGTCAAAGAAGGGCTACTTAGCATGGATCACCTTGAGGTTCAGAATTTGGCTCTTAGTCTGGAGGGTTTGGTGTTTTTGTTTTGTTTTCATTTTTGTTTTGCTATTTGAGACAGGGCCTTGCTGTGCATCCTAGGTTGGCCTTGAACTCTCAGTCCTCCCACATCAGCCTCCTGAGTGCCAGGATTACAGATTGTACCCATCACACCTGGCTCTTGAGTGTTAATACTCTAGAAAAGATAGTGCAGATTACAGGTATAGTATTCCAGAATGGAGAACATTAGTGTCTAATGGTTGGAATTTAACATATTCTTCTTGGTATAATCATCTTCAGAATGCTTGATGGGTGGAAAGTTATCTAGTGAGCACAGACCTAGTTCAAAAGCAATGGAGGATGGAGTTCAAAAGTAATGGAGTGGGGCATTGTGCCAGGCCACAGTGAGAACCTGTATCTACCTATCCCACAGATCAGGATAGTGACAGAAGGTCTATGTTCTCAAAAACCAGGGTTTCTCTTCTTAAATAATGAGGCATATACACATTTACACATTAACCCCCCTTGACCTTTGACATTTTCTCTTGTTAACATTGTCCGTGACTCTGCCTTCTTTTCTCCTTCTCTTTCTCTTTTTGGTTTTTGTATCAGTGGCTTATCTGTTGCTGTGATAAAACACCATGACCAAGGCAACTTATAGAAGGAAGAGTTTATTGGACTTATGGTTCCAGAGGGTAAGAGTCCATTACAGTGGAGCAGGCATGGCAGGAGGCAGCTGGAGCAGCCTGAGCGCACACATCTTCAAGCAGGCACAGGAAGCAGACATAGCCAGACTGGAAGTGCACATTGCTATATACTCTCAAAGCCTGCATGAAGTGATGTGCTTCCTCCAGCATGGCCACACCTTCCAGCAATTCCAGGACCCTCCCCAAACAGTGCCATGAACTAGAAACCATGTGTCCCAATACTTGGAGCCTATGGGGACATGCCCATTCAAACCACCACAGTTTTTTTTTTTTTTTTTTTTTTTTTTGCTGGGTAGCACAGACTGGCCTCAAACTCACGATCCTCCTGCTCCAATGCTGCTTTCTCTTATTAGATGCTATTTTCAAGCTGCTTTCTCAAAAGCTATAGAGATAGCCTATTTGTAGCTTGTGTGGCTTATAGAAGTCAGGCAATATTCTAAGAAAAACAGATTTTCTTACTGCTGTCAACTGCTTGATTAATATTGACTTGAAGCAGAATTTCTCTGATTCACTGACTCCACTCAATGTGAAATTGTCACAATGTGAAAAACTAGATAATTCTCTGTAAATTTTAATGATGTATTCATATGGAAACTATGTTAATAGCAGTGATAATTTTTCTCAGCGGAACAACTTTGGTTGCTGTTGCTACATACTCTTTGAACTAGTACTAGTAAATATTTAAAGGTACAAAGAAAGAATACATACTAGTATTTGAATAGACAATATCATCTACCAGAACATAATTTTTTTTTTCTTTTCAGACACAATATATGGAGCTGGCATACATTTCAACAAGACCCTCAAAAAACTAGTGGACAAGGTCAAGAAAGCCTCCAACACAGACAGGTTTATCTATGTGTTTGAGGCTGAAGTGCTCACAGGCTCCTTCTGTCAGGGAAGCCCATTAAATATTACCCCTCCACTACTGAGTCCGGGAGCCTTAGATACCCATGACAGCGTAGTTGACAGTGTCTCCAATCCTGAAACCATTGTTATTTTTAGTGGAATGCAAGCTATGCCCCAATATTTGTGGACTTGTACACAGGATCACGCATGGTCACAGGAGCATGCATGGTCACAGGCTCACACCCAGTCACAGGATCATGCATGGTCACAGGATCGCACATGGCCACACAATTATTTGTCAGGACCAATGTTTTCTTCACAGCAATCCTGGGGGAAATTCCAAAATGGCAGCTCTGTTTAGGCTCTCTCTACATCATTTTAACAATTGGCATGGTCTTAGTTTGGGTGAACTAACAAAATGCCTGTCAGTAACTCAAAGAGTGGCTTGAATATATCAAATAGTTTATCTGTTCACAATGATTGGGTTACTGAGGGTACCAACCACATACTTGCATTTTACTTAGTGCCTTCATTTTTTACCTCTTGGGGTTGGGTTAGATAGATGCCAACTAAAACATTTTCCCAACTCTTCCTTCTCCTTGAAATTGTTCTTTCACCTCCTTTCTTATGGGTAACAGCAAGATTATTATATATATAGCAAAGATGTTTTTCTAGTATATAATTCAAGCCTTTTATTTTCTAAAATGATTGTATAAAATATTATGACAGCAGAATGATTTTAGATTTTCCATATAATCTTATAAAGTGCTTGAGATGTCCAAATAAATCACTTTGTCTGAGTAACTGGCTCTGAATAGTTATGAAATGAAATAATTTGAAGTAGAAAGACATCAAAAGTCTGATATGCAGTTTGGATTAGACCGTGTCAAGTGATGCCACTCAAGCACCCTGTACTTAAGTATTAACTCACTTGCATTTATTGATCACTAAAAGTGTTTTACTTTCTGGATACTAAGGATAGGATAAGCAAGACAAATATTACAAACCTTTTAGCTTGAATAATCAGAAAGACAGATAAAGACAACTTTAACAAGTATGACTAGGTATAGCTAAAGGAGAATTACAGATTCTTTAGAAAAATTTAGTGGCTGGGGGCCATGCCTCTCTGGCTGTGTCCCTCACTTGGAACTTCCATCTTCCTGGTCTGATGCTTTGTCCCCATCTTCTCCCCTTGGGCACCACCATCTCTGCTATTATATCCTCCCACCCTACCCCCCACAGTCCAGGCTGGGCGAGTCCCCCATCTGGGGCTCTGTGCCGCCCCCCACAGCCCGAGGGGCAGGGCTTCGTGGGGATCGAGCTTCATGGCTTTCTATGAAGAATCCCAAACCCTGCCTAGGAGCCACCTCACCCTCCCAGGGCTCCACCTTCAGCCCTCAGCCCACAGGGTCCAGGGGCCACAGTGGCTCGACCAGACCAGGATAGGGTGCCTGGGCAACTCCCCTCACCATGCCTGTGGCTGTTCCCACATCCCTTTGAGTATCCCAGGAAAAATAAAACCCCAGAACTGCACTGGAAAAAAAAATTAAGTAGGAGGACAGATTAGTCGAGGACTGTGTGCTGGATAGCTTTAGTGTCAACTTGACACACCTGGGTAGAGGGAGCCTCAATTGGTGAATTGCCTCCACAGGAATGGCCTGTGGCCGTGTCTGTCTGGCATCTTCTTGATTGAGTGATATGGGAGGACCCAGCCCACTGTGGGTGGTGCAACCCCTGGGCAAGTGGTCCTAAGTTGTATAAGAAACCAGGCTGAACTTGGGTCAGGGGAGCAAGCCAGTAAGCAGTGGTTCCTCCATGGCCTGTGCTTCAGCTCCTGCCTCCAGGTTCCTGCCCCGAGTTCATACCTTGGGCTCCCTGGTAAACTGTGACCTGGGAGATATAAGTCAAATAAACCCTTTCCTCCCCAGGTTGGCATTGGTCAGAGTGTTTTGTTACAGCAATGGATAATCAAACTAGAACAGACTGTGAAGGGAAACTGAATTCAAACTGCAATCATAAGGGACATAGCTCAATAGGAACAGAGGTGGAAGAGGGTTTTAGGCAGTCTCACAAAGACTGAATCCAGGGGCTAGAGAGAAGTTTCAACAGTTAAAAGCACTTGATGCTCTTGCAGAGGACATGGGTTCAGTTCCCAGCACCCACATGGTGGCTAACAACCACCGTAATTCTATTTCCAGGGGATCCAATGATATCTTCTGACCTCTGTGGGATATGGGTGCACTTACACACATGCAGGCAGTATACTCATACACATAAAGTAATAAAATATTTTTTAAGTTGGGGAACCAGATGTGGTGCATGTCTTTAATCCTAACCAAAAAAAATCTTGAGACTAAATATTTATTTTAATTTTATGTATATGAATGATTTGCTTGTATGTAAGTACACCCATGTGTGCAATGCCCACAAAGGCCAGAAAAGGATATCAAGTCCCATGGAACTGGATTTTTGCATGGTTGCTATCAGTCATGTGGGTGCTGGGAACTGAACCCAGGTCCTCTGCAAGAGCAGCCAGTGCTCTGAATCACTGAGCCACCTCTCCAGTCCCCAAAATTTTAAAATTATAAAAAAATTTAAAAGGGCTAAACCCACCTTGACTGGCCCAAATTTGACTTTGAGGTTCTGTTTGTAAATTTAGAGGCCAATCTCACCATCCGTTTACTGCCTACTTTCAAGTTCATATTTGTCTGTACTTCTAAACTTCTGTTTTTTTAAAAAAATTGATTGATTTTTATTATATATATATGTAAATGCTTTGTCTGCATATAAGTACAACTATGCATTCAATGCCTGCTGAGGTCAGAAGCTGGCATAAGATACCCCAGAACTGGAGTCATGCACAGTTGTTAGCCACCATGTCGGTGTTGGGAACTGAACCCAGGGCCTCCGCAAGAGAGTCGGTGCTTTTAACTGCCAAGCCATCTCTCAAGCCCCTGTACTTCTGAACTTCGGACCTCACTCTTCAACCTCAACCGCTTGTACAGAACACTTGCTCCTTTCTGTCTTATTTTAGCCTGTATTTTCCTTGCAAGAAACATGCTTATTCTATCATATGGTATGCCCTAGTCTCTGCTTTAGACCATTGGTTTGCAAGGTCTTGTCTTGCTTGTTCACTTATTTAGAGGGTTCTGAGTCTGCTGTAGTCGAGCCCATCACTGTGAGTGAGAAGCCCACCCATAGCACCAAGAAAATGGACTATCTAAAGCCTCACTGCTAAGCCAACCATTGGGTACCTGGAAAGTCAAAATTTCATGTTTAAACAGTTTTGAGTCCATTTCCAGAGCAAGACTGGTTTTCCTCTCCCCAAGATTAGATTATGTGAGACTCTGCCTCAAGAATGGCCAGAGAGCTAGAAATGTAGCTCAGTGGTAGAGTGCCTGTCTAGCTTGTATAAGGCCCTGAGTTCAGTCTCCAGCACCACACACACACTTACAAAAGAGAGCGAGCTGATGGAGAGATGGCCCAGTGGGTTAAAGGGGCTTACACCCAAGCTTAACGATTTGAGTTCAATCCCTGGAACCCACATGGTGGAAGAAGAGAATCAACTCCTGAAAGTTGACCTCTGACTTGCATACATGTCTGCTCCCTACCTGATTTAAATAAATAAGGGTAATGAAAAAAATTTTAAAAGAATAGCCAAGGGGTGACCAACTGCAGGGATGATGGGCTTGAATGTGCTGACAAAAGTGTCTACATACATGTGTGGGAGGCCTGTGGTAGGAAGCTGAGTGTAAGAGGGCAGATCACCTTTGAAGAGGCCATATGGAACACAGAAGAGGCTGAGCTGACAGGGCTTCTCAGTGTTCCTGTAGGCTGCAATGAGAAATAGAAAAATAAAAGGACCAATATTTTGGAAATAGGGTTGTTTCTGAACTTAAAAAGAAAATGTTCTCAGAAAAAGGCTACCAAGTTAAACAGAACTTTCTGAATTCCTTTACTCAAACTGCAAACTTAATTGAAATCTAACTCCCAATTTCACAATTTCAGATCTTATCTGTGCTTTATAACCTTTTTCTCTGTGGAAAAGAGGTTTTATAGGCAATTTTACTTTATCATTATTATTATTTTGATACTGGGAACTTAACTTAGTGCCTTAGGCATGCTAGGCAAGCACTCTACGTCTGAGCTACATCCCAGGCTGGAAAAAGAGGTTTAACTTATGGTGGCATACAACATGTATCGGTGCTTTCAAAGGGGGGGGGCATTTAGACACAGAGGGCTTACATGGTTAATTCATAAATATAAAGAATCTGACAGACTGAAGTAGGTGGACATTTTGTAGTGATGAAAACAAATTCTTCTTTTGTTTGTTTGTTTGTTTTGAGCCAGGGTCTCTTGGAGCCCAGGCTGGCCTTGAACTTATGTGACAATGACCTTGAACTTCTGATTCTTTTGCCTCCAAGTGCTGTGCCTGTAAAAAAAAACCTTAAGTATTTTATGCTTAAGAGATATATTGTATATATCTGTTGAGAGAAAATATAGCTTGATATGACTGCTTTGCACTGACAACAGGAATCACTGCAATACAGGCAGAAGAGCAGAGTTGCAGGCAAAATTAATTCTACGTTTGACTGTATTCAGTTTTACCATTACATAGAACAGAGAGCTCCTGAAAGCTCCACAGAGCACTAATGGAAGAGGAAACAGAAAGAATGAAAATATCTGCATCATTGGGACAGGAACAAGTCATTATTTTTATTTAATATATGTAATATCTATTTAATTAGTTTTGTATTTATAGCCTTCTTTTAAAGAATTATTAATTGAGGGGCTGGAGCGATGGCTAAGCGGTTATGAATACTGACTGTTCTTGCAGAAGACCTGGGTTCAAATCTCAGCACCCACATGGCAGCTAACAACTGTCCATAACTCCAGGTCCAGGGGATCTGGCAGTCTCCACTGTCCTCTGCGGGCATTGCACGACTCCAGTGTACTTATCTACATGCAGGCAATACACACATAAACATAAAATAAAAGTAAGGATTTTTTAAAAAAGAATTATTGATATACTTTAAAAGTATAGAGTATGTGTTTTTTGTTTGTTTGTTTGTGTTTTTGACAGGGTCTCCCTAGTCCCAGCTTGCCTGGAACTTACTATGTAGACCAGGATGGCCTCTATCTCACAAAGATCCACCTGCCTCTGCTCCCAAGTGCTGAGATTAATGGTGTGAGCCACTACACCCAGCTAGAGCATGCCTTTAAGACCAGCACTCTGGAGACAGAAGCAAGTGGAGCTCTGTGAGATAGAGCTAGCCTGATCTACATAGTGCGTTCCAGGCCAGCTGGGACTACAGGGAGACCCTGTCTCCAAAAATTTTTTTTTAATTAAAAAAATTAAAGTATAGAGTAAGTGGCTGGAGATGTGGCTCAGTTGGTATTGCGTTTGCCTAGCATGCATAAAGCCCTAGGTTTAACCTGCAGTACCATTGTATAAACCAGGCATGACAAAAAAGAGTGAAGGGGGCTGGAGAGGTAGCTCAATGGTTAAAAGTGTTTACCGTTCCTCCAGAGGACCCAAGTTCAGATCCCAGTACCCACATGGCAGCTTACTTGTAATGGAATTCTAGGGGATCCAATGCCCCTTTCCTGTCCACTTTGGGCAATGCAGTTATGTGCATGAATCCACACAGACACAGACACACAGACACACAGACACACAGACACACACAGACACACACACACACACACACAATTAAAACAATAAAATAAATCTTAAGAGTATAGAATATATCCTATGAAATTTAAACATTCTACAAATTATTAAAATAAATTGCTGTAGCAAAGAGATAGAAGCAAATATTGCCATTTTTTATTGTATTTCTTATTTGCTTAATTGGTCCTTCCTCTATTACTAGCTGCTTCTTCTAACTATTCCCATTGCTATTTTGCTTTTACTAACAGCATGTAACAGAAAATAAATACAACAGACTATATAACCTCAAGTAAATATCTATTTTTATGTTTTTATGTTTGAGTAATAACATTTATACACAACTTATATAGTCTTTATTTCTATACAAGTTGTCAATCTAGCCACATTTTTTTTTTTTTCCGATTTCAACTTGCAGAGGTTTTGTTGTTCTTTGTTTCTTTGAGATAGGATCTCACTGTGTAATCCTGACTGGTCTGGAACTTTCTATTCATACCAGGCTGTCCTGAAACTCATAGAGATCCAACTGCTCCCCTCCCCAACCCCCACGCCATGTGCTGGGATTAAGGATATGTGCCATCATGCCTCTGTGTGTGTGTGTGTGTGTAGGTCAGAAGTCAACCTTAGATAGCCTTCCTCAGGAACCATCCACCTTGGCTTTTGGTTTCTCATTGGGATGTGGGGCTTGGTGGTTAGGCCAGACTGGCTACCAGGGAGCCCCAGGATCCATCTGTCTCTGCTTCCCCTGCTGGAATTACAAGCACATCACCATATCTGTTTTATCTTTTTGTTGTTTTTTGACAGGGTCTCCCTAGTCACAGACCATCTGGATGTGGACCAGGGTGGCCTTGATCTCTCAGAGAGTCACCTGCGTCTACCTTCTGTGGACTGGGATTAGAGGCATGTGCCACCCTGCCTGGTTTTTTGTTTTTATTTATTTTTTAATTTATTATTTTTATTTTGTGTGTAGGCGTGTATTGCCTGCATGTAGGTAAGTGTACCAGTGTCGTGCAATGCCTGCAGAAGACAGAAGAGGCTGTGGGATCCCCTGGAACTGGAGTTGTGGACAGTTGTTAGCTGCCATGTGGGTGCTGGGATTTGAACCCGGGTCTTCTGCAAGAACAGTGTTCTTAACCGCTGAGCCATCTCTCTAGCCCCTATTTCATTTTATTTTTTAAGACAGAGTCTCAGTATGTAGTTGTTCAAGATAGCTTCAATTGTCAACTTGACACACCTGGGTAGAAGGAACCTCCTTTGAGGAATTTCCTCCATTGCGCTGGCCTGTGGTAATGTCTGTGGAGTGTTTTCTTGATTGTTGAGTGATGTTGGGGGTGCCCAACCCACTATGGGCAGTGCCACCTCTGGGAAGTAGTTCCAGATTGAATAAGAAAGCAGGCCAAGTGCAGGCTAGAGGAGCAAACCAATAAGCAGTGCTCTTCTCATGAAGAGCTGAGCTTCAGCTCCTACCTACAGGTTCTTGCCCTGCATTCCTGCCCCTACTTCCCTCAGTGATGAACTGTGACCTGGAAGATGTAAGATAAAATAAACCCTTTCTTTCCCAAGCTTGTTTTTGTCAGTGTTTTTATCATAGCAATAGAAAGTAACTAGGACAGTAGCCCTCCGTGGCCCAGAACGTCCTATGTAGACCAGGCTGGCTTGAACTCAGAGATCTGCCTGCCTCTGCCTCCTGAGTGCTGGGATTAAAGGTGTGAGCTATCAAACCTGGCCCCACACCTGGCTTTTTGTGTGGGTGCTGGTAATTGAACTTGGGTCCTCAGACTTGCCTGACAAGCATTTTATTCCTTCCCTGTCTTAACCTGCAGAGTTCTTTTTTAAAAAATAAAATCAATAAGAATCTAGTCAGTTGTGTTTTAACTCTCAGGGAGCAAAGTAAAAAAAAGGAAGGAAATCAGAAAAAAGTGACAAGTACATAAAATGAAAATAACCAGTTTATGAAGAGAGGGAAATAGCTGAAATATAAGCTTCTAGAAATTTCTGTCCCAAACGTCAGCAAACGTGTAGAAAATGGAATCTTTTTAAAAAAAATTTTTTTAAATTTTATGTGTATGCATGTATTGCCTGCATGTGTAAGTGCACCTGTGTCGTGCAATGCCCGGGGAGGTCAGAAGAGGCCGTCGGATTCCCTGGGACTGGAGTTATGGACAGTTGTTAGCTGCCATGTGGGTGCTGGGATTTGAACCCGGGTCTTCTGCAAGAACAATGTTCTTAACTGCTGAGCCATCTCTCCAGTTGGGAAAATGGAATCTTATGCACTGTTTGTGGACTATAAATTGGTGAAATAACCCAGCAATAACTAGTGTGCTAGTTTGCTATTGCTGTGTAACAAATTACCATAAACCTAATGGCTCAACACTCATTTATTATCTTGGAGTTTCTTTTGACCAGGAGGGTAGCCATAGCTTACCTGGTTCCACTACTCAGTGTCTATCAGAGCTGTAATAAAATATATGTCAGGTTGTCTTCTCATATGGAGGCTCAAGTGGGGAAGAATCTGCTCTGGCTGTTTACAGAATTAAAAATGGGGGAATGCCCTGGCTTCATACTGACTGCTAGCTAAAGGATACTCAGGCCCTAGAGACCATCTCTGCTTCCCTGCTATGTGGCCTTTCTAAACAGGCAACAGACAACATGTCAACTTGCTTCTTTAAGGCCATTAGGAGAGTCTCTAGTTTCATAATACATTAAGTATTAGGTGATGAATGCCATCATAGGTCTCCCATCATCTTCATCATATTCTGTTAGCTAGAATAGTAAGTCAGAGGTCCTGTCAACATTCAAAGGATGGGGATTATAGAGAACAGCACCAAGAGTCAGAGCTCATGGGTGTTATCTTAGAATTCTACTATATCCAATGACGTTAAAGATCAGTGTCCTAAAGAACATGGTTTCCCTGTACATAGTATATATGTACAATAATAGTCATTACACTGTTTATTATAGAAAATATACTGTTCTACAATTTTTAGATTTCTCAAAATAAAGTCAGAGAAATATTATAAAACACCACATATATCAGTTTTGTTAAGTCAATGTATATAGGAATTATGCTTCCAGCAATGGCCTATTATAGTTGATTTGTATCAACTATTCCACCACTAAAAACTGGAAAAAAATATATACAACATTGATGAAGATGTACACAGACAGAATTTGTAGGTGAGCCTCACATTGCCATTATTTCTCTAAGCTTGTGGTGATTGCTGGTTCTAAAAGAAATGGCTAAAACACAGAACAGAAGTTTTGGCTGTTTCTCAGGGCTGAGGAGGCCATGCTAAAGAGAATAGATTCTAGTAAATGCCTGTAACTTTTGGTTAGGACTCCCAAGGACTACTACCACGGAGTCCTAGGAGCATAGGTGAATTGGAAATAATGCAGCTTTCACAAAGACTACTCTGAATAATGGAGTCTTAGACCCTGGCTGGAATATAATGCTGGGTCTTCAGTTTAGCTATGGTCATACTTGTTCCTAAGTCTCCTCCATAGAGCACCTTCCTTTTTCTCAGTCCCCTTGCTCAAACTCAACTCTGATAGCAATAAACACACCTTCTGGGGAGGGGCAGGTGCTAACAGAATGAGGAGGAAGGGAAGTGGGGAGGGAGGGAGGGAGGGAGAGATCCAAGACAAATGCACATTGTATAACCTAGGATCCACTCAGTGTGGTCCTTTCTGTCCCTCTCTCTTAACATTTATTTACTTTTATTAAATTTTATTTTTATTATTTTATGTGTATGAGTGTATTGCCTGCTTGTATGTAAGTGTACCTGTGTTGTGCAATGCCTGGGGAGGTCACAAGAGGGTGTCAGATCCCCTGGAACTGGAGTTATTGCGGTAGCCACTTGAGTGCTGGGAACTGAACCCGGGTCCTCTGCAAGAGCAGCCAATGCTTCCAACTGCTGGGCCATTTCTCCAGTGCCTCTCTTAGTATTTATAAATACATTGATCTATCCTGTCTCTTGCTCCTCAGCATTCGTTTTAAACTGATTTGTTAAACCATGTCATATATGTAACACTTTTCTGTGATCTCTGCTTGGCTGGCTTAGGCTTTCTTTTGAAGCCACTACTCCATTTACTACCCAGAAAGAAAAATTCCATCGGTTAACCGTAACAATCATTTGTCCAACATTTAGAGAGCACGCATTCCGATTAAAGCAAGTATGTTTCAAATAATAACAACAATTATTATTATTGAGATAAGGTCTTCTTTCAAAGTTCAGGTTGATCTAGAATTTACCATTCCCCTGCCTTAGTCTTCCTAGTGTGATTACAGGCGTGTGCCACCAAGCCAGGCTCAAAAGCTAGTTTCTTAATGATTTTTGATACTAATAAATTATCTGGCAAAGGGGAAGGGGGAGAAGAACTGAAAAGAGAATACCCAGAAGCATACTGCAAGTGAGCTGCATGTGAATTCTTTGAACGCGAGACACTGACGTATTTTGTAATACTCCCTCGGCTTCCCACCATGCCGTGATTCATCCAATAAGCATGTGTGAGGTAACTACCATGTGAAAGAGGGTAGCTACAGAGAGGTGAAGGGGATCTGTGCCCCCTGGAAGAGCATAGTAAGGACACGTTTCCAGACATAGCTCCTGCCTGTCTTTGCCACTGACTACAAATCTTGATCTCAACCAGATTCTCCCAGACCGTGAATTTTCGGTGGCTGGTGCTAGCCTAGGGCAACCACCGCGAAAAGAACGTTTGATGACTACACCTCCCGGCAACCCCTGCGGCGGGCGGCAGAACAGCGTACGCAGGCGCGCAGGCCGGCCCCCGCACGCAGGCGTAGTGCGCACGCCGGCTAAGCTGGGTCTCGCGGCTCGGTGTGCGGCAGCGGACAGCGAGGCCTGGTGGGCGCCGCCGGGGTGCGGGCCCGGTTGGTGGAAGTTGTGCGCGTAAGAGGCGCGGCGGGCAGATAAGAGAGCAAGCGCCTCACCCTAGCTGTGGCACCGGGACCGGTCGCCTGGAGCTGGTGAGTTATTGGGTCCTCTCGGCCCCTCCCCCTCCGGCGGGCGGCTCTGCGGACCGGGAACAGGCCCTGGGGCGAGGGCGGCCGCCGGAGGCGGCCGCAGCTGGTTTCCGGAGCCTAGACGCTCGCGGCGTGTCGGGGCATCACCGGCCCGGAGGTGGTAACGGCCGCGCGGCGGCGGAGCGCAGGGTGGGGGCGGGGAGCGCTGCTGCGCTCGCGGTGAGGAACGCCGG